TAGGATAAGATGCAAATAAATAGCAAATATAAGAATAATGCAATAAACAAATACAGAAAATGTCTTCACATAGAATTGGAAACAATGTTATAAAATTCTGTTTTACTCGGAAATTACAGTATTTGAATATGCTCAATTTAATTGTAAATGTAAGATGCCTAAACTTCAATTATAAAAAAAATTCCTTTTATACAAGTTTGTAAATAGCAACAACTTTTTCTTTATAATTCGAATTAATAAACGTAGATATTATTATTACTCAATAAAAAATTTCATATCTCAAATTGTCTTTATACATATACGTATATGTATGATATTTATTATATATACCTACACCTACAACCATTCAAAATATATATATATATATACATATATATATATATATATATATATGTGTGTGTGTGTGTGTGTGTACGAAATCTCAAATGAACATATAGAATTTCAAGGCATGGTATTTCAAGTGTCGTTCAAATATCGAGAGGGAAACAAGTCATTCAGAGAAACAAGTGTTCAGTATCCCATATGCGAAACTACAGTTTCGGTTAATTAATTGAAATACGAGGTTTCACAGACTATCTATACTCAATGGAAAGTTCTCACAATATAGAATCTAAACCTTATAACTTATGTATTTCGAAACACACAAAAACCCTGAATTCTATAAAACGATTGTCTTGACAGAAAGTACATTTATTCTCCAATATACATCGCAACTATTGTCCGCCTGACGCATACGAATTCAACTAAACTAGAATAAATGGTGTTCTGTGGAATATAAGAGACATACTCGAGGTGAATATAGTTTGTAAACCCCATAAGTAGCAAAGAATCGGATTTATTTAAACGATTCATATAAGAAGAGGCTATATCATTCGGATTGCAACCATTCAGCATAAATGCAATATATACTTTCTGTTAAGTTTCACCACTATTTAAATTATATTATTAATGTATTCAATCATAGTGAAGTACGAACCTTTTATATTATTTTACCAAACTAAACGACAATTTTTGGCTCGTTATTTATAATAATCATAATATTAATAAATCATATGTGTGTACACTACTGTACACATGTTTGCTATTATATACAAATTAATATTATTGAAATAAAACTTCTTTACACGCGACTAGGGAAAGAATCTGTGAACTGTTCGTCATTCGCTTTCGATGAAATCATTTCTAGACGGGTCGATTGTGATTAGTCGTCGTGTCGAGTGAATAGAGATCTTTCGTTGTGTGTGTACCGGCGTACGTTGGCGTCACCTAGAAACATTATTTCGGAATGTCATTAAATTCTAAGGTTACATCGTGGTACAAATTTTGATTTAATAAAAAATGCCCGAATCAGAAGAATATTTTACCCTGTCCCCATAAATAATTATAATGAAAATAATAAAACAAACATTTGTGCCGTGTACGAAACCCAAGTTTATTGAAATAATTTTTATATTATTCGTACTTTCTATAAATTTTTGAATTTATTAAAATGAAAAACATTTTTATAGGCAAGACAGATATTACAGCTGCTCAGAGAATGAGATGGTATTGCCAGCGAAAAAGTAAAAAAAAATACAAGCAGCTAATGAATGTATGTTAATTTTAATTTCGTGAAGTTCTTCAAATACAATTACATGATGAGTGAAATTGTGAAAACAATATTTCTTTAGGCGTTGTTTAACATAATCCACTGTGAGAACAAATATTATAGAATTTATTAATTAGCAATTACTTCATTTCTCCAATAAAGGTTCAAGTCCTTAATGCTAATTACAATGACAAACCGATCATGACATATTTGAAGTATGACTTTAATTACATTATTGTATTCAAATAGTATAAATATTTTTAATGCTATTATTAATATATAATTTACAATTTATTATTAGACATCAATAAAAGTGTGCATCACGAGTGTAATACACATAATTAAAAATTGTCATATGATGTATTTATTTTCAATTTAAATGTCATCTCGTACAATAGCAAAAAAGTCCTACTTCATTCGCCTGTAAATTTTTTTTACTAAGAAACAATTTACTCTTAATTCTCATTATCTCATTAACGCCTTCAATACACGCTGAGGATTATATACACTAGCAAATTTTAATACACAAAATAGAATTTGGACAGTAAACTCCATCAATGGAATTCAGAGGTGAAATTCTACTGAATCTAATTGGAAACGCGATATCAATGCGTTTCTGGGAATGTTTAAAAACTCGAACTGGAAACGCTGTCGAGAACTAATCAAAGGAGCCTTCAGGCGGACTTGAATATTCGCTAAGGAAAATAAACTTCGCAAAATTAATAGAAAATAGAAGCTAATTAGAAGCTACAGAAACTTCACAAATGCACTACTCTACCTTAATATTTATGTTAAGGTAATGGTTAAATTGAACTTAATTAATATTATGTGGACAGAATTTTAATTTATTTTTTTATATTACTGCTATTATAATAATGGAAGAAACTATAAGCAGTTATTGATTAAAATATTTCTTTATTATTCCCAAGAGAAGATTACATCAAGGCAATGTGTTAAATATAGTTTAGCAGGAACAAATGTTTGTTTTTCGTTAGTTGTCATAGAAAATCTACCATTGAAAAAAAAATTCATATCAAGATTCAAATCTAGAACATCAAAAAGAAATAAATACGATTTGCGTAGATTTTCATATTTTCTTCCATTTTCTTTTCCTAGTAAAACTTGAACTGCGCGGATAGCCCGTCGTTTGAGTGCAACTCTCTGGAGATAGAGGGGCGCTTTTCCCATGAAAATATCTTTTCCACACTTTTCCGCGTTTTCGACAAAATGGAAAATATTCTTGAACTTTCCTACTGAAATTGATTCTACACTTGTATTTACTCAAGAGATATATATATATATACACATATATATATATATATATATATATATATATAAATGCAGATGACTGTGTATGTGTATGGTTGAAGAGTTAATCTCAATGCTGTCGAAGATTCGTCGATGGAAAACATTGAGGTTACCGTTTCACAATATATGGAATGATGAAGTGTCTATTTTCATTTTAATTGGGTCATTTAAAATAAACCGCAACGATTTTATATTCATTTTACGTTTGCATCAGGCTGTTTAATCATGCAAATGTATTCGAAATCGGCTTAGAACGAAAATCATTAATTAATGCATTTGAAAAACTATGGCTAATTTCAGAATTGGTTGGAAACTTTATCTTAAAAACGAGTTTGAAGATTAAGTTATTTTATATCCTCAATAAAGTGAAGTCGACATGCTGAAAGTTTTAAATAATGACCAGAAAAACGGTGGAAACTTTTATAATGTGTGCGAACTCATTAAAGTCGTTCAAAAAAATTTTAATTTTGTTTGGAATGGAGAACAAAAACCAACGCAGGAGTTAAGTGATTATTTTAATTTATTTAACAAATTACATAATAGCTGGATAACTCGCAACTATTATATATGTATGTTTTTATGTAAAAAGGTTTTTAAAAAATTATTATATTTTGTCAACGTTTCGGAAGTATGTACCTTCGATCTTCAGAACAGACTTAAACATGATCTTGTTTACAGCAAAACTATAAAGAAAACCATATTAAGCAGTACATAATCATAAATATAATGTATAATATATATTTATATATATGTGTAATATGTATATATGTGTGTGTGTTTCTGTGCATGTGTGTAATTTACTTCATTGACATCACAAGAACATTTGCGACATTGTTCTGTTTGCACATACTAAGATGATTACAATAGTTGGTGCAATACGACGTGCAGCTTGCAGGAGAAACAAATTGCAATTTAATAGAAATTCTAAACGCATTGAGCTCAGTTACAACTGATTCGAGGCTGTAATTCCGATTTCTAATTATCTTTTTCACCCTTAAATTATATTGTTGCACTAATAAATAATTGATAGGGTTATGTGAATTTAACATTGCTAAATATTATATAAAATATTTCTAAAGTTTACAATCATTTTTGTTTGAGATAATAAATCGGCAATAAATAACAACTTTATTAACTTCCCGTAGGGTAAGTTACAGTAATCGTCAAAAAATCTAAATTCAAATTTTTTGCATATCTTCACGGTTTGAAGGTTTCTGAACCTTCGAAAAATGTATGTGTGTGTGTGTAGGGATACAATTTTTTGTCCACGTTTTCGGGCGCACGGATAAACCGATTTGAATGGTTCAAAAAACATTCGATTCCTATTGATAGGGAGATGTTCTGATTAGTTTTTGGCAAAGGCAGGTTCAGTCGTTTCGGAGATACGGAGCAAAGAGTGCAGAAAATAGAAATCGAGTTTCTGAGAGAAGGGAGCATACGATTTGAATAATCCAAACCATCCAACGAAATCCAACATTGAATTCGTAACGATAAAGAGAAGTGGTGGTTAGATTTTGGCAAAGGCAGTTCAAGCCGCTTGGAAGTTACAAAGTTAAATATGCGAAAAATGGTAGTTTTTGAGAGAACTAAGCAAGCGATTTTAATGACTCAAAAAACTATCTCTTGTGTTAATGAAACGATTTCTTTTGGAGTTTTTTTTGTTTCATTTTTTTTTTTTTAATAACCAAAAAATATTTATTATTTAATATTTAATATTTCATTATGGTACGGGAAGTTCCAGCAAATTGCCTCAAAACACGATGACATACACCACTAGTTTTATTTTATGTTGTAACAATTTAGGTTGCATTATGTATGAAATTCATTAATACTATACAGTCATTAAAGTTTTGTGATCAAATTCAATGCAAGTCACGAACGGCGGGCGAAGTTGCATTATTAGTAACTTCATCGCACAAAAACCGACAGTTAATATTGAATATAGAATTCGACAGCAGATGATTCAAGTTATAATAAAATATTCATTATCAAATATATTTCGATACATTTATACTAATGCCTGTTTTCGCGTATTAAATTTTCATTGCGGTTCAGTTAATTGAACCATGTTGAACATCAATTGACATTTTCTCTTTAATTTCAGAAACAATGGAAAACTGTCGAAGATTTAAATGGCCACACCGTACAATCAGGCGAACAACAAAATTATCGAAATGGCGAGATGAAGCAAGTCCAACTTTTCGGAAATGATTCGAGGGCGAAAGAAGATGAAGACTAAAAGTTGAGAAAAGCAAAGTATTTAGTAACAAGAGCATCGCATGGCGTCTCTCAACGATAGCTTGGACGTCAATCTATCTACTTTTATGAACGACGTGTTGGGCAACTTGACCGTTTCGAATTTGACGTCGACGGCCGCCGCTCCTTATACAACATTACAAGCAATAATAATATCGATAGTCTTGCTCTGTGTGATAATCGGAACTGTGATCGGGAACGTTTTGGTTTGTGTGGCCGTCTGTCTGGTCCGCAAACTGAGACGGCCCTGTAATTATCTATTAGTTTCTTTAGCGTTAAGTGATCTGTGCGTCGCCATCCTAGTGATGCCGACGGCTCTTTTGTACGAAGTTCTAGGTGCTTGGACCTTCGGGGATGTATTTTGTGACGTTTGGGTGTCCTTTGACGTGCTCAGCTGTACGGCGAGCATTCTGAACTTGTGCATGATAAGTGTTGATAGATATTACGCCATAACGAAACCCCTGGAGTACGGGGTGAAGAGGACGCCGAGGCGGATGATGCTCTGCGTCGGACTGGTCTGGGGCGGAGCGGCCTGCATCTCACTGCCGCCCCTTCTTATACTAGGTAAGTAGTACACAGCGCACAGACGTTTGATCTCTGATAAATTCTAGTCTGGCAATTAGCAACAATTAATTAATTATTTTCATATTCATTTCCTGAGCATTCCATAGAGCTATATATAATATGTGATAATATTATCAAATGAATTTCTTGAAGCATGTTTATTTAGGATTGAGTTCAAAAGCACTTATCCAAATTCTGAAAATTCAAAATAAAAATCGCTAAACAAAGCAACCAAATATGATTCAAGTTTTAAAATTTCAGTAATTTAGAATGAGCTCTCTCAATTGTTATCAAATTGCTCAATTTAAATAAGTAACTAGTGGTGTGTGGCATCGTGTCTTAAGGCAAATTGCTGGAACTTTTCGTATCATAATGAAATATTCGAGCAACATTGAATGTTTTCAAATAGATTATTATAAATACTCTAACTCCTATGTTTACAGAAAAGTAAATACACAAAACTTAATCAATCGGATTTATAATGAAGAACATGGTCTAATATTTCTAAGTATTATATAAACTCAATTGCAAAGTTAAAATTATTCATTTGAAGCATATAAGTGAGTTTTAGAACTTTAGCTTGAATTAAAATTAAAATTCAAATTATTTTCGATATTCAAAAAAAAATTTTTTTTGAATATTAAAAAAAAGATTCTCAAAAGCAATTTTTTCATCCACGCGAGTATAAAGTTTTTTGAATTATTCAAATCGGATGCTTAGTTTTCTCAAAAACTGCTATTTTTTGCACAATTGAATGTTTTTTGGATCATTCAATTCGGATGCTCCGTTCTCTCAAAACTCGATTTCTATTTTCTGCACTCTTTGCTCCGTATCTCCGAAACGACTGGATCTGCCTTTGTCAAAAACTAATTAGCACATCTCCCCATTAATAGGAATCAAATGTTTTTTAAACCATTTTAATCGGTTGATCCGTGCGCCAGAACGAAATATTGTATCTATACATACATACTCACTCACACACACACATCCATTTTTTCTGAGGTATGCAAAAATGTTCAGAAACCTCAAAAACGTGAAAATGCAAAAATTTTCATTTTCGATTTTTGGCCCATTACTATTACCACAACTTACCCTAAGGAAAGTTAAAAAATGCTAAAACTCAGTTCTGCAAGTTCGGTCGAACTTAGTTAACTATATAACCAATTATTACACATGATTCTCATAACCTTCAATTGTGATTCAATTTTAAATGTCTACATAAGTAATATATCTTACTCTGGATTTAGCAAAAGAATCTTTTTCGATGTCTGAATGTTGAATGACAAGGGTTAGATGAAGCCTCAAAAGTGAGGCCGTTATCGACAAGGTGCAAGAGTAAGGCACAAAGGAAGGTCTACTATTCTCTAGACGCCACTGAACCATCCTTCGTAAAAAGAAAAGTGAAAATTTTATAAATCGCACTACATAACCAAAGTAGGTCAAATCCCTTTGAAAAGATCATCGGTGGGCCGTCAGATCAGGCCAACAAATCCTACGATTTTACTACAGTCCAATAATTGAAAATATGCGGTTTTAAATTTCAATATTTGTTCAATATAACATACTAGTTCAAAATTCGTTACTTTTGAACAATATTAATTATACTAGTTCCTGAAACTTCTTTTCAGATGTGTATTTTATTAAAGAAATTTTAGCATGGTTTAATCGCACTATTTTAATAAAATTCAAAGTAACACTAAAATAAAAGAAAAGATTTAATTCAATATCTACGCGAGTACCGCATTTTTCTTTGCATGTTCATATTTCAATTTCATATAATTGCAATATTGTACATAAAGCGAGATGTCAATCATTTAATAAGTAGAACAAAAGAATCTGTCTTTTACAGCATAAGAAAATACACTTTGCGAAAAAAATAAAAATCTTCAATTCTAGATGTGAAGCACTGCCTTAGGACAGAAAGCTATTATTATGTCAATTACAAAGTTGCAAGCCCAACATCAAAACAAGAACGACCAACTTTTCGCATTTGGATGACAATCATTGATTTTAATTATCAAAGTTATAATAGATAAAAACACAATTTGATAAATATTTTAGAAAAAGTAGCTAAATTGAAAATAATATTATTTCCAATATATAATAATCAAGAACAGAAAAAACATTTAATGGGAGCCTTTGCTCATACAATTAATATGGTGTGACACATAAAGCAGAAGACATTTGTATTATATGCATATACAATATGTATGTGTGTTTAAATTCGTATGTACAAGGAAAACAAATCGCAAAATTATTCAAGGAATAATTTATAACATCATCACCATTAATTACGAGCAACGATATAACACACAACACACAATACGCCATCATACTATAAATATGAACATACAAGATACATGCTAGGCATCATTACGTTTTGCTTATGCCTAGTAAAAAATATTTTTTCACCAACTTCAGTTAAGTAGGTTTAAATTTAATTAATATAAGATTGTTATTTTATAAAAATAAATATTATGTTCAGGAAACGAACACATCAACGAGAAAGGCGAACCTTTATGCGTGGTGTGCCAAAATTTTGGGTACCAGATCTACGCGACTCTGGGTTCCTTCTACATCCCTCTGACTGTGATGATAGTGGTCTACCACCAGATATTCAGGGCAGCCAGGAGGATAGTCCTGGACGAGAAAAGGGCCCAGACAAGACTGGAAGGGGTTATTAGAAACGGAGGTACTGAAGGGCGACAGTCGACGGCCAGTGCCACGGTAAGAGAAAAATACTTATTGTAATAAGTGAATGAGTATAATTATAATAATAGAGTAAGCAATATATAACTAAGGGAAGCATGCATATTTTTCCAACTTTCTCAATTACATTAACGAATGGTATGAGTTAATATTTTTGTTACTACTTATTAATTGGAACTTAAATTATTCCTTCCCTCATTATCTCAATCATCATCTAAATTACATATGATAGTAATAGTTTCTACATAGGTATAGTATATATAGGTATAGTATATATACATATATTATTATTAATATTGATGCACTCACTTTGCTCTTCATTTCTGTATTATCTTTTTCCACATCTGCATTTTCCTAGTCTTTTTGTGAAAAAAGCAGTTTTTCGACTTCCCAATAGGAACCAATGTCTTCGTCTCTCGGGTCAGATCCATTTTCTTCTAGACAGTATAGTTCTTTTCTCTGCCATTCTTTTCAGTACTTATTCAACTACTACCTGTAATCAAAAATATATTAAATATTATCTAGTTTAACACCTGCAACAAGATTATCTTCTATATATATAAAAATAAGTCGGGTTTTCCTTCCTGACGAAATAACTCCAGAATTTTGCATTCGTTGGAAAGGTCTCGGGCTCCGCAAGGTTTATAGCTAAGGAAATTAGTGGTGCATGGCATCGTGCCCTAATGAAAATTGCTGGAACTTCACGCACCGTAATTAAAAATTCGACTAATGACATTAGTGAGAATTATCAGAATTATGCTTGGTTAAATCAACGAGCAATTCTTGCCGCAAAGAATAATGATGTACACGCACTGAATTTCACCATTCAATCAAAAATTGCTGGCGATTTGGTGACATACCAATGATTCCGACTGGTCTGCCGTTTGACTTCAAACGATTGCAATTTCCAGTTCGCCTTGCGTTTGCAATAACAAGTCGCAAGGCCAATCGCTTAGTGTTTGCGGGATAAATTTAAAATAGATTATTTAGAAAATCATTGTTTTTCACATGGGCTGTTATACGTTGCCTGTTCACGAGTTGGAAAACCATCCGCTTTGTTTGTGTTAACGTCAGACCAAAATACAAAAAATGTGGTTTACCAAAGAGCACTTCAATGAAACGGATAATTTGCAGATTCACTTTCATTTACTTAGAGAAGTTCAACTAAAAAACACTTCATTTTTGTAATCGAAATAAATTCATTACTGTTGTATGATAAAATCACATTTTTCCTTTTCAAATATAAAACAAACAAAAAAATTCTTCATCTTTCTCACGAAACCATCTGGTGGCGAAACGGAGTTCGTCGGGTTTGCTAGTATATATATATATATATATATTTGTGTGTGTTTGTGTGTGTGTTACTGTATTAATATTAACAGAGATAATTTACCTCTAATTTTATTTAAATTTCATATATCGATCTATTCAAATGCTATCATTGGCTTTTGTAATTGCATTGAACTAACGTTCACAAATATCGATTTAACTATTTGCTTTCATTGTACATATTTGCGAATTCCAATAATTCTATAAACTAGATGCATGGATGTTGATAAATAGTAAAAGTGTACAATTTTAATTAAAATAAATAATATTAGCAATTACTAAGCTAATGAAAAACATAGCAAATAGTGCAAACGATACTGGCATATTTGTTGCAGAGAAATATTAGACTAGTAGACTAGTACTTGTATTTTAATGGCAAATAGCAAAAATTAATCCACTTCAACCGTGCGTTCCGTAAACAATACTATTCTCTAATTAATCCAAATTAATTAGATATATATATATATATATATATATATATATATACATAATTGCGTATGTGTGTGTTTTATGCTTAATTTGATATTTATAAATTTATTATAACGACACCATACCAATCATTAATTTTGTCAATTAATATAATAATAATAAGAAGAAATTGGAATCATTTATAGATTATTTATATACTTCAATAATATCGCTTATATGCAATGTATAATATTGCATAAATACTTATTTAATCAATTAATTTATCTATCTATCTATATATTAAACTCTATTGTATACATTCCCGTCTGTGACGAGAAACAATCTCGAAGTTCAAATCAGGATCTTGATTTATTACTCGATGGTTATGAGAGTTAAATTTTAGTAATATTATATATATATATATATATATATATATATATATATTTATATGTGTGTGGGCACATTTGTATTTTATATATAAATCCAAATGTTTATGCAGAAAGATATATGTGGATGGTTAAATGTGCTTTGAAAGGGTTAATGAGTCAAATCAAAGGATCATAGGGGTAGCCCACATATCCAGTACACGTGTATAACGATTATACATACATACATACATATATACATATATATATATATATATATATATATATATATATATACGATATTCAAACTTGAATCAAACACGAGTTAACAATATGAGAGTTAAGTTATGAATCAGAATATATGATTTATTCACAAGCAAATCCAATAACTATTTTATTTTTCAAGCAATAATCCCGAGTTTTATTTGATGAATGTCACATGAATTTCCCATACAATTAGTTATTGAAGTCTTGAAAAAATAAAGGTATTATGAACGGGATTGGTTTTTCCGTGATTTTGTAGCCGTAGGCTCTAGATATTCACTTCAGTTAGCCGGATTCACCCAGTTTGTATATGTATTTATATATGTATATAAATTATTATATGTATAAGTAAAGCTAAAGAAGACTAATTATATAAATATTATCAAAGTTATATTTATAGAAAAAAATCACTTAAAAGCAGTTTGTCGTTACATAAAAAACTTTTAAAACTATTTCGATTTCCATTATCCTTCAGGAACATTTCTTATTTCGGTACTAAAATGTTGATCTTTATACTACATAGCAAAAGTTCTGCAAACTGCAATGATTTAAGTTTTTCCAACTTTAATGGGTTACCATAGAAAACTTGTGCATTTTCCGAAAACTATCTTGTGCAATCCCCATATGTTAGAAAATGTTCATGTAAGGATTGTACAAGAATGTTAACATTGATTGCACCAAACGTTTCAAACGCGATTCATTTACTTCTTTTAAGAATTGATGCTGATGCACTTGCTAACATTGTGGAATGAAAACTAAAAACTTTAGCAATATAGTATCAGTATAATTGGATATACAAATAATGATAGGCAGGTGCATGATGTGAGAGCATCAAAAACCAATGTTTCCCTTTCTCTTCCGTGCTTTCTATTCCCATAACCATTCTATTACCACTATTCACTTTGTACACTTTTATGCATTTTTCTTTACAAACTTCTGCTTCCATGTGCATCCTGGTTCTGTGTTTCGGTTATCAATTCCATGTATCTTCTCTACTCGAAAATGTTATCAATCATCTGTATTCTTCTTCTTTCCAATCCTTTTAGTCCTATTTTACATTCGATGACATCTTGTAGGAGGTACTCTTTTTGCAGAATGGGTCTGATCAAGTTCCCTTTCTTTTTAATGATCATGCTCTTTCTTGGCCCACTCTTCCCAGCACTTCATTCGTTATCTTATCTGGCCATTTTTTCTTTTCCATTCGCCTTCAGCATCACATTTCAAAACTCTACAAATAGTTTATGTCAGCCTTTGAGTCCGTCAAACTTTGGCTCACAGATAGTTTATCCAATTTGAAAGATGTAACCAATAACACTATTTTGAAATCAAAAACAATTCATATATACCTACAAGTGTGTTGGGTAGTGTAACTATATATAATATATTAATGTATATGCCTTATACGTATTTAGACGTAAGTGCACCTGTTTACATGTAAAGATACCATTCAAAATTTCTTCCTCGTTCTTTTTTCCCGATGACGCTTCGGCCATTCAGGAACGTATTGTGCCGTATTAAGAGTCTGTACGTGGCTTTTCCGCGCAGAATAAAAATTTATAAAGAAACGATGATGTTAGATTATCGTTTTGTGTCTGCCACAAAGGCACCGTATCGTAAATGCACGCTTTCCATTAGAGGTACACGACGGACAAAAGATTGAGAAAATAACAGACAAATGAAATAATACTAACATTCGTCCAAATAAGCTTTCGAATGAAGCTTGGAATGATTCTATGTGAATATTTTTCGAGCAAATATTCACAATTGAGGTAATAGTTTTTGCACACTTTTTTATTTATTTTTTTGTAGATTTTTGTCTTTCATGCACTGCGATGTGAAACATTTTTTGTTTAACACTGATAATAACGCCGTTTCGTAGCTGTCGTTCCTCTTAATAGAAGCTCTTAAGGCAAGATTATGGAACACAATCTGTAATTAAAAGCGAAGTCACGAACGTCGAGGGTCTTTTGTTTCAAGACATTGCGCCTTACTAATTCATCAGATTGCACACCTGATCGCAATTATAATATATTATAATACACGTCTTGGATAAAATCATAAATGTACTGTTAAATGTTTCTTTCTAAGAATATGCCCAACGTTAGTAGTGTAATGCTGTATTACTGAATACTTAAGGGGTTAGGGGTACTTGGAGGTACGAAAAAATGAGAATTTTCAGTATTGTTTTTCTGTTATTAAGCGACGCTTTTCTACAAAAATATTAATACGGCATCATTATACAATGTTTTGACTTGAAGTAACAAAAATTTCAGAAAAAAAATAAAGAACGGTCCTGGCGGTGACCATCATAACTCCTTAGAGATTCACCTAAAATGAATCAAATAAAAAAAATAGTTTCATAAATAGATAATCCTGGGCCTGATCGAAGGTTTTCTTTTTTTTTGCAAAAATTAACAAAATGGCAGCATCAGAAATAAAATTTCTAGATTTTTGCGTAAAAAATCAACAGTTAATTGGTCTTAAAAAATTGAAATTTTTGAAAAAATAAAAATCCTTCGATCAGGCCCGAGTTTACTATGTATTCTAAAAGCTGTATGAATTTCAATAAAATTTACTAAGCGGTTTTTGAGTTATAGTGGTCACCGGTTGAAAAAACATAGTTTTGAGAAAAACGCGTTTAAAGTTTTACATTGGATTTACGTACAGAAATTCGAATTATTGAATTACGTAAACCGAGTCATCTATTTCTGGGTTATATAATAGTTCATCAGTCATTGTGCAAATTTCCAAAATTTCCATTTGCTGTTGCCTACGAAGCATTCTGGCCTCCCGTATGTTCTCGTTGGCGCGCTGATAATGCCACTTTCACACGTGCAGCATCCAATTTTTCAGCATATCAATGAGAATCATACCCACAATTAGGTCCTAGGGTATCCATAATCAATAATAATGATTATGTATATGTATTCAGCAATTTGTACGATAGTAGAACTAGTATTCACGGTTTTTATGCATATTTTTTACACTAGTTGAAGCTTTTATTTTTTTCTGATTATGGATTCAATCTTGAACTACACATCTTGAAAGTAAATTATCATTGCTGAGATCGTCGTAAATCGGTTTAAAACCTTTAAAAACATCAGGAGGTGAGGGAGAATAATCTTGAGTATAAGTATCGAGCTCTCCACTTGCGTCAGCGCGCTGGTAAGAGTCCAATAACTCAAAAAGTAATCATCGGATCAACTTTAAATTTTCAGAGAACATTTTCAAGATATTACACTTAATGAAAATGCAAAAAAATAAAAATCGATTTTTCAAAAATTCCAAGTACCCCTAACCCCTTAATTGAGTAAACAGTCTTGTTAATGTAAAGTTTCTCACATTCTTAATTTTATTCCAGATATGTTTGCCGTACACCACTGATAAACCGATATCGGAAGTGGCTCCGATGGGTTCACCTCATCAAAAAAAGCTTAGATTTCAATTGGCGACCGAAAGAAAGGCGTCGACCACGCTCGGAATAATTATGAGCGCGTTCACCGTGTGCTGGTTACCGTTTTTCATCCTGGCCCTCGTCCGCCCTTTCCTGAACGATCAGAACCTGATCCCTCCGACACTGTCGAGCCTGTTCTTATGGCTGGGATACGCCAACAGTCTATTCAACCCAATCATCTACGCGACCCTGAATAAAGATTTCAGAAAGCCGTTTCAAGAAATTCTTTACTTCAGGTGCAGCAGTTTGAATTTAATGATGCGAGAAGACTTCTATCACAGCCAATACGGCGAACCCTGCTCGCAAAGGGTCGTCGTAGGGGCAGAAGGAGGCGCCAGGGAATCGTTCCTATGATCGATCGAAATTATTACGATTATTTTATTCCTGTGTAAGTCAGTCATATCGATCAACAAAGCGATCAAAGATAATTTGATATAGAAATGTAGTCTTTAAAAACTGTGGTCGATGATATACGAATTAAATGAATTAAAAGTGTTGCGTTCTATAGTGGATAATTAAGACGGACATTATGTAAATAATCACGATTTTCAAATGCATACATTTACTCACAGAATACTTTGTCTATTATAACATTTCGTTCATTTTCAAATAGTTGAAAACATGAACTGTGGTCTAGTTATTTTAGATACTTAATTTTTTTTATCTACTTGCTCAATCTCTAAGAAATGAAATTTATTTTTTTGTACATAACTATGCTTCTTAAATTATTATTATAATTTCTGCTAAAAATGGAACTAAGAATTAACTGAATAAACCTGCATTATAACAAAGAAATCACGAATTTTGCTACCATATGCATTTATTTCCCATAAATTAATTTTTATCAATTTATTATATGTTATTGCATATGTAATAATAAAAATGTGTTCACTAAATCTAATAGCCTGTAATAAGCAGATTATTTTTAGTAGCTAAATTAGAAACAATTAGAGACTTAATTACGTGTTTTCATCATATTCAATAAGAATCATTCTATAATATTGTGAATTTCTATTCAAAGACATTTTTTATTTATACTCGATAGCATCATTCTTCATTTACTAAAATCGCATCTATCAAATGATACAATATATTTAAATATATAAATGTAATAAATATAAATTAGATATAAAATCAAAAAATATACTCATGTAAAACTGGATGACAGTCATAAGTATCTAAAGAGCAAAATAGAAATGTCAACGGCAATTATTTTCCCATGTAAGAGTGACAAATAATGATTTGCAGTTATTGGCTTAATGCAATTGAACATATCCTAAATATATTACGTACAACAGTTTCATTTTATATAATTTGCAAGATCTAAGAAAACATATAAAACAATATTATGCCATGATGTAGGAAATGCATCATGAAATTTGGTATCCCAGACGATTAGAATCTAAGACTTTATTTAAATTGAAATGAATGTTTGTGAATGAATAATAGAGTTCACTTTTATTTCAACTATCTAATTATAAAATGCACTTCAGCGAACAAGAAAATTGTAAATATTAAATCTCGTTAAAGTTCCTTATCTCCAATAAAAATTATAAGCCAAAGGTCATGACTATTACTAAGTGTTAAATATTTTTTTAATATGTGTTTGTTTATATTTTTGCCGAAATAGATAACAAAAGATTTTGGTATGAAATAATAAAGATAAAATTTCATTCCCATATAATGATACCATTAAAATTTATTGACCAATATGTACATATAGTTATATGTTGAATAACTTTCGATAAGATTTAAAAAAAATCATCTTATGCATTATGATTTCGAAGTCAGAAAGCTAAAATATAAATTTACACTTAATCATTTATATTATTCACGTTTTACTAACATTTTGGTTTTGTGATATATTTCATGTCCATTACAGTCTTCCATACCATCATCATTCATTGTCTTTGAAATTATGTATGTCATGGTCCTCCAAAACAGCATTCTCATACATACATACATACATACATATATATATATATATATATATATATATATATAAATATTTCGTTATGTATATATTTCCACCCAATTTAGTCACTGTCATGGATATTAAAGTTTCATTTTACCATTAATTGAATGTAACTCATATCACAATAATAAATAAATCATTGCTGTAATAAATCATTGTGAAATATATAATGATACTATTAATTATAATGACTACTATAGAAAAATGTGTAAGAAAATTGTCGATTCATAATGCTATATAAAAAATATAAATTGAAACATGTATTATTCTATATATTAATTTTTTTTCAGATACTGATATTTGAAATATATATTCCTTTTGCAGAAAATGTAAAGCTTAATGTACTGAGATTAATTATAGTGGTGAATACCATGAATTTATAAAAATATATCTTTATGGGGTAATAGCGTTTGTTATTCAGTTCACAAGCATTAAAAAATAAATTAATTGCAAAAGCCGAATATGTTTAAATTACATATGAAACAACTCAAGTATAATGCGTTATTGAGAAATTAAGGAAAATTAAACTTTATTTCTAATAAACTATATTTCAAACATATGCCATCGCAATTACAATGAAAGATGTGTGAAAAATAATTTGTTCACAATTAATCTTGAATAATTTATCTTCATAGGAAAAATGTATAAAAAAAATCCTTCATTAGAGTATGATAAAACAGTATTCAGTAGCAAGGTGCATGCTCATCTTGTCTTTCAACATAGATGCAAGCAAACATAAAGCAGTTTGTGACGAATTTATATCTCTCAATAAGTCTTTCAATTCATTGGGCTCAAAATCCATTACAATTGTAATCAGAATATTTGATGTTGCCGGTTGTTCATTATCAGCATGAATTATAAGTTGTGTAACCGACTGTAAGTTCAAGTGTGACTGTTCGATTCTATTACCTCAATTTATTCCATTATTTACCACATAGAAAAAAACAATTGGTGATTCTGAGGCTCTTTCTAAATGACAGGAGTTTTAATTGTAATAGAACTTCTAATTCCTTGTGACGATTGCCATAAACACACAACGCAATTTAGGCACAAATTATAAAATCCCATGTAGAGTTTGAGTATTTGTCAAAAACATTTTCATCACAGATGACTCGGAGGAAAAGCCACCGAAAAGCAAATAAAACTATTAGTAATTCATTAAGCTAATAGTCGTTATCAAAATGACTAATGCAGTTAGTTCAATAAAGCCGAAAAATAAAAGCAGTATCAAAAACACGAAAGGTATATATGCCTACAATACTAAGCGGTCTGAGAAAAACAAAACCCCTGATTGAAATACATTTGATTAGAAATTACTTACAATTAGTAAGACTTGCTCACAGCTAGGGTATGCTGTTCACTGTAGAAATAAGAGAAATACCAGAGTATTTCAAATTGATGAGTTGTTAACAATTACCGTTATATACGGTTGCGTTTGAGACACGAAACAATGCTCAGAAGATATATAAATCCATTATCTAAAATTATTTTTCACAATCGTCGCCGTCGCACCACAATTATTCTCTCACAAATCTATTCTAACTCTAATCTAATATGAATCTGATATTCAGAAATACACTTGAAGCACGTGGTTCTAGGTTATTATTTGACAGGGGTGTTAAGTTAGACAAGATTGCAATCCACAAAATCAGCAAAATAATTATGCAAATCTAAAAAAAAAAGCGCCATATTTGAACTTCTATATTAAAACGGCGCAAATCTTCAAATATCTCAAAAAATGAATAACAAATAAAATAAATAAATTAATAACTATTTTTTTCTATCTGTCGAAAATTTATTCATGTACATAAATGTTTGAACATACATGAAACATGTAATTAGACTGCACATTACCAAATTATACTTAACATAGCTTTTACTGTTTCAATATTAATCCCAGATGGGTGTTCATTTTTATTTTAGTAGAGAAAATCAAATTTTCAATCAATTATTTAATGACCTACATTGCATTTATTAACCAACACTCAAAATTCCCTCTTCGGGGAATGTATAATAAGGAACCTCCAAGTTTAACGGTGCAGGTCCTTTCCTTATTCTTCCAGATGCGTCATAATGTGATCCATGGCAAGGGCAATAATAACCACCAAAGTCACCAGCATTGGCTATTGGCACACAACCAAGATGGGTACATACACCAATGACAACCAACCACTTTGGGTCCTGTACACGTTCTGAGTCTGCTTGAGGGTCTCGTAATGTACTTAGTGCTACCTTGTTCTCAGCATCAACTTCTTGCGCTGTTCTAAACACAATATAAAAGATTTGTAAAAACTTAATCCAAGCAATCTAATTCACTTATTGGTTAAATGTGATTGCAATAATTTACATGCAATAATCTTATATAAAACTGAAGTAATAAATTATATATTCAATTCAATATAATTAATGAATAGCAAGACCTTTAAATACATTTAAATGCAAATAAAAATTAACTATTCATATCACTTATTTTGATGTTGATTAAAATTTTTAAGTGATGCTTTATTTACCTATGTCTAATAAACAATGGCTTGCCTCTCCATTTAAATGTAACTGATTTTCCTTCTGGAATTTCAGCTAATTTAACTTCAATTTTAGCTAATGCAAGAACATCAGCTGATGCAGCCATGGATGTAATAAATTGTGTTACTACTGATTTTGCAGCATAAGCCCCAACCACAGCCGTGCCTACGAAAAATGAAACATGCTTTTGCACTGAATTTTACTATTAAATAATTTCATGCCAATAGTTTTGTAATATCGCACAAGTATTTCAATACTGTTTCAATAACCATAAAGCCTGATTTTATTATTAAACTTTTAAATATCATTGTTTTACTTACTGCCGGCCATTAAATATGTAAAATTTTTTCTAGCATCAGCATTATCCCTGTTTCTGCTGGCAGGATCTTTTGTTGCATCACGGCGATATTCAGTAAAATCTGGTACTCGTATGTCGGTATGTGCAAGCCTAACAGCTTGAGTACTCACTAAAATGAAGCAATGTATATACTTTTTTTTATTTATTGGAACTATTTTATGTTGCATAAGCTGTATTGAACACTGGTTATTTTTAATAACAACGTTGTTAGTAGGCAATCCATTAGATTGTCCTTTCTATCTCTTTAATTTATTACAAAACACCAAACTCTTCAATTTATTACATTATTACCAAACAGCCTTCCCAGGGTCGACTGCCTCTCTGACTAAAATATTGCAGCAATGCCCTTTTGGGGAAAAGGGCATTTTTACTTGAAAACATATGAACAGAAATGAATGTCAAACAGTCTCGATTTATGTAACATAACCTTAATAAATCTGAGTTACATAATCTTCATTAGGCGATAACTTGATGATAATTCAATAAATTAGCCCAGATCTATAATATTACCTCCAATTCCTGATTGAACACCAATTTTTCCTGAAAATAACACATCATTCACGTTGCGTTTAGTTAATACGAGCGGTGTAGCTTTGACTTGTAATTTTTCGCCTTTGACAGGAATGGCAATCGCTGCTGGATTTAAACCAGAAGAAACAGTGCATGTTGTAGCTTTAAAATATGAAGCCACATTGCCTGATCGTGCAATAACATTCATCATTATAAAATAAATAAAAATAATCACAAGTTTTAACTATTGAAATCTATTTTGAGGTTTTGACAGGCGCAACGTCAAGCTGCCGAAAACCATAGATAATAGAAAAAAGACTGGCGCACGTGCAGGTGGTCATAGATGTCAATAATTTCAATGCAGATTCTGCTACATTTTTATATTGTTTATATTTATGTATTATGTATTGTTTATATTTATATTATGTATATTTATATTGCTTGAAAAAACAGGGAAAGGTTTTTTTGAAGATAAGAGATACAATACATCTTAATCTATCAAAATCTCAATTTGTATTCAAATATTTTGGTCGTTTGATGCAAAATGGCTGCGCCTGCTGCGCCTTTATAACCATTGCGATCACTGTTGACACTAAGCGATGTTCCTTTTAAATTTTACATAATAGAATCAGCTGTCACTTATCTTGGTTACATTATTCTGTATATTTTCAAGATGCTTCAATATAAATATTATGATACGCCAGATGGCCAAGATTTAATAAAAAAATTATTTATAACTGGAAAATATGCTACTTTAACTGGCTTAGGCATCTCATCATTAGATGTGCTTCTTTATTCAAAGCCTAAAGGGTAAATATTTGATACTATACTTAGAATAGTACATTAGTCGAAATAACAAAAACAAAATTTTATTTTGCTTCAATAGGTATTTGGAAGCATTAGGAAGATATGCAACAGTTACGGGGCCTCTTGTGGGAATGGCTGCTGTTTTTACAATTGGTACCTATGTAGCTACCAATGTTCGTGAAAAAGATGACTATAAGAATTATGTAGTTGGGGCCACTTCAGCTGGTTGTCTATGGGGCGCTTTACGCAGAAGCTATATTACAGCAGTATTCAGTTCTTTAGGTTAAATACAGTAGACAAGATTTCTAAAAGCATAATAAACAAATTAGTTATTTTGTGAAATGTAATGCTTCCGTCATGGGAGAGAGTTTGCACAAATTTAACAGTGATTGAGTGTAGCAAATATTTAACAAATCTGTTTACCATTTGAAATTATTAATTATTAATATAATGTTTATTTTTATTACAGCGTTTTCACTAGCTGGTGTTATCAAGAAAAAGGCAATAGAGAATGATTATACATTATTTCCTCCACCTAAGAGACATTTTGTTGGTTCATTGTGGAGCCAAAAGCACGATTTTACTATCTTAAAAGATCGCCCAAAGGGTTGGACCACAGGGGAAAATGATAAAGCATAAATATTTTGAATGGCACATTCATATTAATAAATTTATATGATGTATATATACACTAGAAATAGATAGCTAATATAAAGCTAATTTATTTATTATTTAAAATTGCAGTATATCAATAGCATGAATTTATAGATTGCTATATGAAATATGTCTGATTTGCTACATTAGAATTTTCAGTTTGAAATTTTATTCTTGCAAGCTAATAACAATATTTAATACTTTATGTGGTATTGAATCTACTTAAGCTCCACCGTGAGTAATAAATATTTCGAAATTAAAATTAATTAAAAATAGTTAGTAATTTATATATTTTTGTTCATTGAAGTCATTGGGTGAAAATAATATATATATATATATATATACATATATATATATATATATATATATATATATATATATATATGTCAAAATTAAAATAATTAAAAATGGTTAGTAATTTATATATTTTTATTTATAGAAGTCGTTGTGACAAAATAAAATACATTTTCAATCTATAAATATTGAAAGTATTTGATGAAACATCATCTCATGGACATGCAAATTGAAAATTAATTTACATTAAATTATGAAACTTGATATTCAGTATGTTAATCCTTTTATGATATCACATCACTATTTTATGAGTTTGTTGACTAATTTAAGTTTATATCCTGTAATAGTAAACAAAATTACATTTTCTTTTACTCGCATAATTTGTTTTAATTTAAGTATGCTTTGAAATTACCTCATCCATCACAACTTCTATGCTTTCTATGTTTTCTGGTATATCTTCATCTTCTAATTCATTGATATTTTCATCTGTCATGTCTAAATCTACTTCATTAGCAAGATCTTCATCATCTTCCAGAACACCATTGTCATCTTCCTGGACAGCATTGTCATCATTAGCTTCTAGTTGAGATTCGACATTTTCGGTATTGTCTAAATTTATAACTGATAATGTCATTTTGCCACTAAGTATGACCTAAAAAAAATAATATATTAAAATTTAGATCAATCAAACTTAAAAAGCGTCAAGCACTAGTTAATAATTGATACGGACTGGGGAATCCTCAAGTGTAGCTTCAGGAATCGGAGATATTTCTGTGTGTGTTTCAGATTCTGTAACCAAAAGCTGTGATTGATGTGGTAAAGTACCTTCCAAATATATTGATTGCGCAACAACTGTTTCTGGTTCCTTAAAATAATTAATCAAACATTATATACTATCATAATAAAAGTTAATGCATTTTAAATTAAATTACTTGTGGAGCTGATAAAGGAATTGGTGAACTTGGTTGACTAAATTTCTGTCCACCTTCGCACTGTGTAGTCATCTCCATGCCCAAAATCTAATAACAGTTTGTACATTATGAAAATTAACCGAAATACGCGCAGATTATGTGAAAAACAACTTTTTTATAACAATCTTGTTATAATCTTTGAAAGCTTAAATACATTCAAATATTTTAAGATAACTTAGCAAATATTCTTAATACCCTAATTCCATTTTCTTCTATGTACTATATTTACCCAGTAAACATGCGATATGGTCACAACATCGTGGCAATATTTTATTTAGGTCGTGTGACATGCGGTTCCCATATTCATTTTCCTCGATATTACATGGATACGGCCGCAAATTTATGTAACTATCGAACAACTATCGAGGTTCGGTCTCTGGCGCACGTGGCGTTCGTGATACATGAAAATCGACGTTGACCCACATATGTTTGTTTATTATGATAAGGCCGTCTGACGTAAGGCGTTAACCCCAGTCATGACGTCATTGGCGAATGAAAACGATTCGGTCATGACGTCATACAAAATGGCGACTCAGTTATGACGTAATAGCACCTGAAAGTGATGACGTAATGCAATTAATATTCTTTTCTGTACGAATAAGCATTTATTTACGTGAATAATAAGAAATTTTACAATATTTAAATATTACAAATTAGAATTGTAGTTTAGAAATTATAAAATTTTAACATGAACTATACTAGAAAACTATTTACAAATTATTCAATCTTAACATATTAATAACAGTATATTTAATGAAAATTGTTGTATATCTAATGAACGTAATTCTATTTTTGGGGCGTGAAGTGTGAAGTGTTGCATAAGTATTCTATCGCCACTTCCTTATACATCAAACAGCCTGCCTATTTTTCATTATTTCATTCTATCGCCAGTTCATTGCATCAAATGCCACGATACAAATTATGCACATATGACATACTGCCCCAAATTTTGGAAGTTTTCTAAAACAAATTCAAACATAATGTGATTTACTGTATATAATATAATATATATATACAGCTACCATATGTGTAGCTACCTACATGTTCAGTGTACAAATCTCCATCATCTTAAAGTCGCTTTTACATATACATTTTTAACACTGACTGATTTCATTCTATCGCCAGTTCAATACATCAAATGCGAGGATACAGGATATTCATATATGATGTACTTCTTGGAAGTTTTCTAAAACAATTTGAAACATAATGTGTTTTATTGAATCTAATAATATATATACCACTCCATATGTGTAGCAACTTACATATTCAGGAGACAAATCTAAATCGTCTTCGAGTCGCTTTTGCACATACATTTTTTTTAACCTGATTGAATTCATTCTATCTTCAGTTCATTATACATCAATACATCAATCAAGTTCATGCATATATGACATACTGTTCCCAATTTTAGAGGTTTTCTAAAACAATTATAAATATAAAGTATTTGTTACCAAATAATATATATACAGCAACTATATATGAATCAACTTACATATTAAGAAGATAAATCTCCATTATCTTCAATTTGCTCCTAAACATACATTATTTGAGCCTGTCTAGAGATCTGTATATTGTTCATCGTTTCATTCCAATTTTGTACGACTTCTGAAATAAATATGAACATGGCATACGTGTTTGCTGTTTATATATATTTGTATAGCTATTATATTTGTAGTGACTTACATATTCAAACAATCATTCTCGATCCGCTTCTCAACCGACTAATTTAAGAGATTTAAGAAGTGAGGTTATGTCGAACACATGGATATGTTAATGTCTTAATTTAGTAAAATAATTATTTTAACCTTGCTAAACGATCCTTATTATTGTCCTCAGATTTTGTAAGATATGCTATTTGGTTACCTCCTTTGTCATCTAAAGAAATCGACATAAAATAACGTTTCTTCATCCCAGGATATAATGCACTAAATGGAATTCAAAATCGTGAAGTAATTACATATCTATATAAATAATATATGATATACTTACAGTGTCATTTTTCTACACTTTTCTACAATTATCATAAACAAGTTGCTTAACTAAACGAATGTAATTATTATACTAAAGAAAATATAACTTGATGCATGATAAATTCGTGACATTTTGCGCCATTTTGTACGCGGTTGTCGCGGTTAGGTTAGCTTTCGTCAAAGAAACAGTCGGTTCCACCAGTGGCCACGGCGCGCTGATGTAAAGCTTTCTTTGTATTGTCACACACACCAGCACACAACGCACACAACGCAGCGCACGACGCGTTTGCTTCACGCCGTGTGACGTCATTGATTATGCTTTGCATGTGTGCCAACACACACCAGCGCACGACATGTATCTCACATGAAATTCAACGATGTCATTACCCCCGACAGCGCGTGTTTATGTCTCGTGAGACAACTCAATGCGAGCTTTGCGTGTATTGTAACACACACAAGCGCACGCAAGTTTAAAATCCTCTTGTGGCGTAGATTCGATAACCGCATTATAATAACGATGTCGATATTATAGAAGATCACATCGCGTGTTTACTGGGTATTGTTAAATTTAATAAAGGTAATAAAACTGTAGTTTTGTGTGTATGCACACTTACCTTAACTGTAGGTTTGTCTTCGATTTCCTGATCCAATTGTGTGAAATTTTTATTATGTTCTACTTCTCCATGAACTTTTGAATTAATAGTCGGGTCTGATGTTTTCGATTTAACTAAGTCACTGTTCTTAATATTCCCATTTAAATGCACATGGTCCTAAAAGTACATATACATATACATAGAAATATATATTTGTATAATGGAATTTGTTCAAAAATATTAAAATTATTTCTAATGCAATCTATCATAATTACATATCTATTATAAAAAATAAAATAAATCTTGGAAAACACTGTTACAAATTCACCAAACATGCTACAAATTATTTCTATATAAACATGCATATTATTATATATGAATACACATCAAACAATAACAAAACAATATTGAAGTATGTTGTTGGAAAGTATTAGTAGCATATTCAATGGTTAAATTTAATTTTGATACATCTGTGAATCTTCAAAAACTATACATCAAACGCAAGACATTTATGTTACTCATTTTTTAATTTTAGTATATATATATATATATATATATATATATATATATATATATATCGAATCACAAATATCGAATTTATATATATATATATATATATATATATATATATATATTTATTTATATATATATATATATGTGTGTGTGTGTGAATAGAAAATTATTTAAAGAAGTATGAGGAATGTACATATCAACGAAAAGTATCAGACAAATGTTATTTTGTGAAATAGGTGCCATGCTAGCTAAATATAATTATGTATAAGCAGGTCTTTTTAGCACAATATTATTGAAATAAATAATGAATATCATTTGTACAGAATTTTCCTCAATACTGATCTATTTGTGTTGAAATAAACTTTCTTATTTAAAGTAGATTATTCATTATTTAAAAATGGTTATACAAATATATATGATATATAACTAAATTTTATAGTAGATTATTTGTCGTACTAATAAAAATTGATTTGTTTTAACAAGATATGTAACTCAAATCATATATATTCCTTTTTGTAGGTAAATAATGGGTAATAGAAAATTAATTTCTCTGGATCAAATTTTAATGAAATAACATAATATTGCGATGCTACCTCTACACTAGTATTTCGTGTTGAATCTTCAATATGTTGGTTTTGTACAGCAGCTCTTGTTTGATCAACATCTGCTACCAAACCTTGGATTGCCGTTATAACTTTGAAAAAGAGTTATTTTTATTCAGAAAACGAACTAAAAATTAATTGAAATCTTAAATCCTTTCTACGGGTTTTAAACATAATATTATTCTAAAGATCAGCCCAACGATTTCCAAATAATAATTATTGTCTTCATTTTGTAAACAACTATTAAGTAAGTTTTGTTTGTAATATCTGTTAAATAATATCTACTATTCCTGGTAGCTTCAATTTATATTATTTGTTGATGATGGTTTATCAAAATGATTTATCGAAGAATTATTCAAATTATGAAAAAATCTGGCAATAATTAGCAATAAGTAAAAAAATGTTTTCTTATTTCTACTTAATAAATTGATGCTTAATACAGATTATAGTTCAAAGGAAATCGCTGGATATTCAAGCATCGAACAGATTTAATTTTCAAATATCTAATGAAACAAATAGTATAATACATTATATATAATGTAAATTCTAAGTATCCAACGGCTAATCATCAAGTTTTTCATGATAATATTTATTGTAAACCATATGATGATAAATTTTGTATAAAATAATTTTTCACTTCAGTAGTTTGCGATTATGCCATAAATCATTGTAGAAACATATGGTTTTTGAAGATTTCAAAGATATATTCAATACAAAATTTAAGAAATTAGTAATATATAAATATATCTTTATATTTATAAATATATATATATATATATATATGTATATATATATATATATATATACCAAAGAAAATCATATTGTCGATGCATATAAAAAATAATTAATAGAGTAAAGTAATAGTATAGAATGTATCGGCCTGCAAAATAATAACTATGTAATTGTGGATTATAAAAAAGCCAAATTTCGCAAAGAAAACATTTCACTATACCACACTCTCATAAAGGGCGTGCATGTTTTTATACATTTATTTCATCGATAGAAGTACCGCCCATTTTCAAATCTACTCGCTACAAAATACTTAATATAAGGCAACATTGATAAATAATAATAACTGTTCTAATTTATCAAAGGCAAAATGATTGAAATCGCAATGCGAACTACAGACTGAAAAATTAGAAATGTTGAAAAGATTGGAAGTTAATATGAATCTAAATATGTTAGCTTGTTTTGACTAAATGATCTATTTCTTGTTCTGAAAAAATATACTTTCAAAGAAAACAAAATGGTATATGAAAATTCAATGAAAAATAAGAAAGTCTGTAGGACACATGAGAGATGTGCAATGGCGTGCTTTTTTCTCAAAAGACACACCTGACCGCGCAAAGGGACTTGGCCCATTTGTTCAACAATGCACGCCATCGCGCGTTCTGTTTCCATCAGCCTGCGCCGCAAGTGATCTAACTCAGATTCCCCTGAAAACGATAATTTAAAAAAAGTTTTTAATAAAAGAAGCTGATGTGGAAAAACCATACGATCCGTCCCTCATGAAACACACTCGGCGCGACAACTTTTAGATGTAAACGAAAGTTTAAAGAAAAATATATTAGTATTTTATTGTTTTACTTTGCCATCAAAATTAACAATGATTTTAGAAAGTTCATCTCATTTAAAAACCAAATCTGTTCGGTGTGCTAAACTAAATTTATTTCTTCATTTTCAAAAAAATTATATTTAACATATAATTTTTAAATGAGATAATTTATACTCACTTGTATCGCGATCTTTCCATCCTGAGCGGCATTGAATTCGATACAATTTATTAGATAATCATTGATAATCGATATATTATATCGCATACTAAATATTATACCATACTATACTAGAATATACTTTTTACTTATTTATATAATCGAAGAACGCATCAAATAATCTTTTGAACAGCTTTAAATTAATTTTACTGAATAGCCAAATCTAATATATGTTATATACTAGTGTACCCTATCCTACATAGATAATATACCAACATGCATATATGCCTATATATATATATATATATATATATATATATATATATATATATATATATAAGGTTGTCAAATATCTCTTCCGCCTTTTTGTATTATAAACCAAGAGCAAAAAAGCGGAAGGGAGATGTTTGACAACCTAATATATATATATATATATATATATATATATATATATATATAAATTTTTATACCTAATTTTGAATCATTTCCCCGTACTCTATCTACTTTATCTTTGGGTGTTCCGTTTAAAATAGAATCAGGCCCAAAAACTCTCCGTCTAAAGACAGGATCAGGTTCTAGTGGTGGGTATAGCCCTGGGCCATCCGACTGTTTCTTAAATATTATCTGTACAACAATCAATCATGTTTCTTCAGCGCTAATATTACAAAATACTTGAGTACTATTATACTTCAACTATCATGAATAGGTTTAAATCTAATATTATCTAATACCTTCATAATTGTATAGACAAAAAAGATGACAATTGCTATAGTGTACAGTGGCATAAGGACTCCCATTGGACTGCTGCTGGTCTTGGCTGGTGTCATATGTCCTGCGCCGCCAAGTGGCGGTCTCATTCCGGGTATCGGTCCAGGCTGAAATACAGGCATGAGGATAGATATCAAATCAAAATAGTTTTACATTTTAGAAATAAGATAAATTTAGAAATAAGATAGTAAATAGTATTGATGTTTACTAAATGCATACTATATATTGTTTATTAAATAATGGTTTAATAAAATATTATCTTTGCATATCAATCAATTATCGACAAATATGCTGATAGACATAATAAAGAAACAAACAATATAGAAATTAACACCCCACACCATAAAATTTTATATAAGTTTTTAAAGATAACAGTAATGCTATAGCATCAAGCATAATATTTGCGTCTCATATGGTGTAAGATTTCAGTTGAATATTTACATTCTTCAACAATCATATCACATAGCACATCATACTGTTATGCAAAATTGTAATACAATATTACCTTTGAATTATAGTCTTTGTAACAAAACAGATCATTTACACATTTAGTATTTTTCCACTCATTTGGAGAACGATAAAAATAAATAGAAAAACAATATTGTTATTATAAACAAAATATATGAAAAATGATATTTCGATATGAACGATTCTGTATAATATAAAATATTACTAAACACTTACCCTTCCCTCATGAAGCCTGGGCTGAGGTTGAGAAAATGGTTTTTCCATCGTCTCTGGAGCAGGAGGCGGAGCCTGTCGAAATGCAGCAGGTATCGCTCTGCCTCGCTCTCGCATTGCAGGATGTGGCAAATCGCCACGTAAATGAGGGGGCCTCTCCTGCCTTATACCTGCGTCAACATTTTTTTTTAGTAAACCTCATTTTAATCATCTACATGTTAATCAAATTAATAGAAATCCTTATATTAAAAGTAGTAGTAATGAGCTTATTATTTGATGAATTGTGTTAAATAGTATCCTGCACTTTTTCATTTTGCAAAAGAGTGTGCATTTTACAGAGCAGAAGACAATTAGTACAGATTAATATTAGAAATCATTCCCTTGCAATATAATAAATTAAGAAATCAAATCATTTATTAGCATATTTTTAGTTCATTATGTCAGAACGATGCCGAAAGACCTTGACAGAATTTTACTGGCGATCCCAAAATAGAAAATATAAAATACGCAACATGAACCGTAATAGTCTAAGATAAATAAAATATTTGTGTTAATTCATTACAAATTTCTATCAATAACCATAAATAATTATTATACAAAAATTATAACAATTATAATGGAATTTTCAGACTTTGATACAGTACATGTGTCCCATATTATTTTGGGGATGATCTGAAATAAATTATATATGCGTTAATAGGATTTAGTAAAAACGTGTTAAAGATATGGAAGTCTCAAACTAAAACAAAAAGGGCATTAGGTATTAATTGTTATTTTCTGTAACCACTTTGCATTTGTGATAAGGAAATAATTATAAGGAAATTGAAGACAAAGAAGACTGAAGAGTTATATAAAGATATTTTAATTATAATAGATATTATATTAATATTTATGTAAACTGTTTTCATAATCTCTCATATCAGGCACTTCTGTCTGTCTGAGATATGAAAATAATATATATATATATATATATATATATATATATATATAAATGATATAAAGTATGATGACAGGAATGGGTTTTTATTTTAAACCCATTCGGTTTTTATTTTAAACCCATTCCTGAACTCCTTTTAACAAAAATTATACTTAACAAAACTTCTTAAGAATATGACAAAAACTATTTATAATTGAAAAAAAAATCATTTTTTAATAAAAATGACGAAAATTTGAATGAAATATTCAATTTTCTTCATGATCTTCAATATCCGTAATATAGCTTTTAGTATGTACATCCTTTTCAAGTCGCGTAATTGTGGTGGGCAGCTTTTTTCGTTTCAAATTTTGTAAAAAAATGGTACTTGAAATATATTTAAAAATAATGTTGTAAATAAGAACACTTTTAAAAAAGCCGGAAAACAAAAGAGACAAAAACTTTGAATCGAATATAACTACTAGAAAAGTTCCGATATGATCACCTTATGTAAAGCGTCACAATCTTGATTTTAATACCAAAGGAGCATTTGTGATCTATGCAATGTGGTTAGTTTTTTTTTAATTGTTTGAACAGCAATCAAAACTCTTATATGTTCTATAAGCTGTTGGTTAAGACTTATAACTACTTATTTCATGAGAGGCAATCCTTCGATTTACCATTCTCTTATGTGTGGGATATTTTTGATATTAGCTCTTACGTCTAATGGTTAACATGTGATTGGATGTTGCAGCTATGTCCACGAAGGACGATTTCCACTTGGAATTGTATTGTGATCTATAACCCCAAGTGGAAATTTGACATCAAAGCTGCCTGATGTCGGGCTACGGCGGTAGCGGGAATCGAACCATCGAACCTGGGACTAGTTGCTGCTAGCCCACACTCTAACCGATATCGCCACCGCTGGCCCAATGTGGTTAGTAAACATGCTCAAAAAAGCGCACATTTGCTCACTGGTATCAAGGACCGCCATGGTTCTGGGCCTATGGCCAGCTCCCACAGTCCATGGAGGTATTCCGAACTCAACTTGAAGACAAGATGAGCCATTAAGCGAACGCATCTCGCTAAGAAGGCGTTTCACTCCTTTAACATCTGGACCACCTTTTCCGGATGAAAATACCGGTAATATGTCCAGGCCGCAGCGTGATAATATTTCGGCCCTACATCTATTATTCACGTTTGAGCCCAATAACTTTGTTTCATTGAAATCTTGAAATTTAAGCACTTGGGCACATAAATTAGTTACTGTCATCAGAGCGTTCATATCGCTGCTGAATATCACATCGCAGCAACCTGATGCAAATACTCAATTCAATTAACGCAATATATTTAAAAGACTTTGATAAAAAAAAATATAGATAAAAATAATTTCGTTGAAAATTATGAAGCTTTATGCAATAGAGCTTTACTTCGCTAGTTCTGTTCGTGTGCCTTTGATTTAATCTTTATATTAAATGTCTTTTATTGTCCAGTAGAATACTCATATTAGAAATAATCTCTATATCTCTAGTCTTACTTAAGTAAATAACTTTGTAAAGGATCTGATCGTGTTTCCATATAGAATTGGCCCCGCCCTGGTATTTAAATGATTTTGATGCTATTTTATAGCTTTTTATCAACTTTTGAATGTGTTCTACCGAATGGACTAAAACTAAATTTTGCATAGCATAAGAAGTACGAATAGCCATTCTAACGATGTCAATTAAAAATTAGTCCAAACAACCGCACTATCCAAAAATTTGGAACTAAAAATTGTTCTTTTCATAAACTAACAAATGATTATTTAACAATATTTATTATTAACAATATACTTAGTCCACACCGATGTGAATAGAATGGCGTTATTTGTTTGACGATATCTTCTACAATTGTGACAAAAAGTGACTCTGAAAAAAGGAGCCACTTTGGCATATTTTCAATGATATCTCGGCCAAATGATAGGCTAGAAAGTTGAAAATTGGTATATCGGATTTTTTCTAAAAAAGCTATAAAATGGCATCAAAATCATTTAAATATCAGTGTGAGCCAATTCTGTATGGAAACACGATCAGACCCATAGATAAATAAGTATAAATGATCAGACCCTTTACATTGTAACTGGAGTAATATTGAAAGGTGTGAAAAAATACTTTGCAAGCACTTAAAGCATTTAAATGTTTTAAGTTCTATCATTTAATAGTCATATAGATATTAAACTTGTTGAATAAACTTTATGCTTAAGTAAACAAATAAGTGTGTACCAACACTGTGCATATATATATATATATATATATATATATATATATATATATATATATAGGGGCAGTCGGGGCTAGTTTCCAGGGCGGTAAAGTTTCTATAGGGCGGCAAAATTAGGAAAGTGAGAAAAAAATTCTATACAATATAATTAACTAATTCTTCTTAATAAAATTTTTAACATCAAGAAATATAATTCATGCATTCATGTATCAAATAAAATTAAAATTAAAATTAGAAATTTATCAAATATAATAATAATAGAACTTTTAATATTATCATTTTGAAAATTTAAATGAAAACTTACTATCAAAATTTAGTTAACAATTTATTTATATTTTTCATTTTCGGGATTAATAATTTATGTAGTTTTTCTGAAAAAACAAAAATATTCTCAAATTAATCATGATTTTTTGAAAACAAACTCCAATTGATTAATGATAGAGCGACAAAATTTCAGTGACAGGGTGGCAATTTTGTCAGTGCCCTCGGGCGACTTAAATTTAAATCCGGACCTGTATATACATATCTCAGTACGTTAAAAATTAATACCAATATTGAACTATGCCTAACATTTAAAGAATTGCATCTCACCTGCGTATCTGTCCATAGCATTTGGCATAATTTGTTGATCTGGAAATCCCATGAACATGGGGTGAAATATTTTTGGCCATAAAATAGAAAAACATCCTACTATTATAATGACAACAAAAACAGATTTTCGAGGCCCCAGACCACTAAAATCAATGGCTAAGATTGACATTTTGGCACAATGTTACTTATCACTTCGTTCGAATTCGATTAACTTTAGAAATTTATGATTACACCATATTGAGTTAAAAATTTGTATTCATCTCTGAATGGAGCACTAAATATACTGACTGCTAAAGCATTTGACGAAAAACTCGCAAAATGTGATATAAATAAACTAGAGAGCACACATTTATTGGCTAGACCGGCGCACTACGCCAGGAGTGTTTGCTTGTGACACTTAAATATGAACTATCAACGTTTGTTTTTCAATTGTCCAACATAAACAATATTTTATTATAAAAAAACGAATAAGAAATTAAATAAATCCTCATATTCTATTCAATTTATACTCTATAACTTTACCGCACATATGACAACAAATTATCTGCTTTATGTCAAAATCTTTAAGGTACTTGTCAAATTAACAAAAACATTTAATTAATTTGGATTTTCGATAGATATTTCTTTTTGATACAAAATTACTTAATTAATTAATTAAAATATTTATTTTAGTCTAATAATACAAACTATCACTCACTACCATCGCGATAATCATTTTGTTTCATTCATAAAACCAATGATTATCCTTTAATGTAGAGTAGTGTTACCAGCATTTCTCAGTAAAACTTTCCCTTTATCTGACGTTTTGTTTGTGTTAGCGCATGTCTAGGAAGCATGGCAACACCAAAAAGGACCTTATTCATTTTCTTTATAAACAAAAATTTTATGGTTTTATTTTATATTTATAAATAAATTTGTTTATTTATTTATATTTATATATGCGCATATATAGAAGAATTTATATGCAAACAAATCTTGTATATATTTTTTTCTCTCATTGATATGGAGCAATAAAAATTGAGTTATTAACATCGAGAATATCTATTTTCTTTTCCAGTTGTCGGCTTCTAAATCGACGGTCATTTGGCCTTTATATACATAAATTATACATGCAAAATAATTGACATATTTGTATCTTTAAAATCATACGCATAGAAGAAAAGTATGATCATACGTTTGTCTGTCTCTTAAGCTATGTATACAGATCACCGCTATTTTTTATATAAAAACCTTTCTACTTGTCTGCTATTCAGCTTTTTTTTATACAGAAGCGGTCTATAGAGTCTTTATCTATATATATTAATGTGTAAAATGTATCACTTGCGCCCTCACTAAAATGAATGTTCAAAGCGTCAATACTTAATGAAAGAAGCGCATTTCGCATTTACATTTGTGCTTCAGCCGCGAGAGTTGGTTGTTCACGAAATTTAAATATTTAATTCCTTATCCGAAAGCGGGTAATTGTCAATAAATTATATCCAGCTTTTATTAAGAACTGTTAGTGGAGTTTATAAAAATATTCTTACATATTGTTCTCACTGTGTATCTTTTGCCTTTCTTTCAGAAAACCGGTTTTCTACTGTGATAATAGTCTAACCTAAATAAAACGGTAAGGAAGTTTGACTGAAATTAGCACGTTCTAATTCATATGAAATTAATTGTCCGATGTCAATATCATGAAATTCAAACTTTATATTTTATATTTTTAGATAAAATGAATGAAGTTATTGATGTTATGGCTTTGCAACGTGATAAATCTAGACATGCAACTCCTATTGATTATAGAGCAGCAGAAGGAAAATCGCTTGCTCCTTGGTAACATTGTCAATAATAATAATAAATTGTCAATTGTATACAGTTCTTCGGAATTAATTAGGTATGTTTTGAACTAGGTTTTTGTTCGAGTGTGGAATTAAACTTAACGCTCAACCATTGACGATTGCTATGGCTGCTGTGATATTTCACAAATTTTTCAAAGAAGTTGATGCTTCGGACTACGATAGCTATGTAAGATTGTACAATAAATTTTAGTTTTATTTACTTCATTCAAATGTTTTTTGGTTTTATACAGTTAATAGCTACTTCAACTCTATATCTATCTGGTAAAATGAAAGACGATCAGTTAAAAATTCGTGATGTTATAAATGTTGCTCATTCAACTTTGAATAGAAATAGTGCTCCATTAGAATTAGGCGATCAATACTGGAGCATGAGAGATGGAATTGTTCAGGCAGAATTGCTCATAATGAGAGTGTTGAAATTTGAAGTAAACGTTGAACATCCACATAAGGTAATGTTTTTTATTTTATAACTTCATATAATTTTATTATAAAACTTCACTAATTTCACAAATTTTTAGTATATGCTGCATTATCTGAAATCTTTGCAAGACTGGTTTAGCCCAAGTGTTTGGTCTACAATGCCAATTGCTAAAACTGCTGCTGCGTTTTTGCAGGTATTATAAACTATATATTTTCTTTAAAACTTAAAAATTATATTCAATGTATTAAATTTTCAAGGATTTCCATCATTCGCCTGCTATATTAGATTATGCTGCACCACATATTGCTATAGCATGTTTATCATTGGCTCTGCAAATATATGGAGCCAGAGTACCCCTATGTGATAACAATGATGATAATGGGGTTTGGTATCATGTATGTAGTATTTATAATTCTGTAATTATGAAAATAATTCATATTACAAATAAATTTAAACTGTTATTAATTTTTTTAGGTTTTCGACAAGAATTTATCAAAGGAAAAACATTGGGAAATTATGGAGAAAGTTATGGATGTTTATAATCAAGAACCTGAGACATCTTAAATTTCTTGTACTTATGAATTTTTATACCTTTTGTATTAAATGTACTAGTTTTAATTTTATCATATTTTTATATAAGTATTGATATTGTTGTTGAAGTAATTAATCTTTAATTATAATTTGATGAAGTACAGTATGTATGACATAAGATATTAAAAAGTATATCTTTAAATCAGTTTTTTTTTTTGCACACAAATTCTCGATCACAATGTGAATTTTGAGTTTTGTAGTAATGTACATTCTAAATAAAATCTTATTGTAAGATGGATAATTACTCCTTGGTCTTCAAAACATTTTACATTGATTAAATTATTAATAAAATTTAATCACAATATATTAAAACAATGTCATGATGTTGCATAATATAATTCAGAAATTTGGCTGCATCACAAATCGATTTTCATAATACAAATAATTTACAGATATTTTCCTGTACGATAATGTTTATACAACTTGACTTTAAATTTTAGTATTGCATTCTAATACAGGGTACCCAACATCGTGTGCTCTTTTGAGGACCACATTAAAATATTTGGGGATTTTATTTCAATATATATTAAATTTAATGTAAAAATTACAACAAAATTTAAGGAACAAAGTATGGTTAACTCCCAGCAACTACAAATGGGTAAAGGCTATGGGTAAACATTCTAAACCACGTAAACCTAATAAAAACAGATCTATGTCAATACTCAAAATACCCATAAAAGTAAATCGAAGCTTGCTAAGTCTACAATACATTGAACATCTATGCAATTTTAATTCTCGCATAAATGAGATACATTGGAAAGATAGATCATAACCTATGTAAGACATTTCTCTGTTTTTTTTTTTTTGATACCAATTATTTAACAAATATGTTCCCAAACATTTGATATATTACTTATAATTCTTTACTTAATCTTGGATATTTTTCAAGATAAATAAAACTATTGCACATTACACATACAATTATTTTACACTTACTATCTTAAAATATTATCTTAAGAATGCACTTCTATGTAGAAGAATGCATTTAATGATATAATTTATTGCATGTTTGACTTATATTTTACTTATTCAAGGGTTAAATGCAGTTGCATCATCAGAGTGCTTCAGATGCAAAATTGCAATTTCAAAACAACAAACGAAAACAGATCTTATGCTGTCATAAATTCATGACAATAAATAGCATGATATATATTTTATCGAAACATAAATAGAAACAATATCTAAAATAAAAATATAATCAATCAAAAATAACAAGATTATGAAAGATAATTTTTTAAACAATCTAAAATTTTAGCATATAATACATATTAAAACTAATAATATTTATTCACAATGTCCAGCACTGTCAAATTTAATACCATACAATAATTGATTTACTTAATTAAAGCAATAACAAAACATTTATAAGTTTGCTATTAATATTTCTTTACATTCAAATATGGCTTGATTTTCAATTAGAAACAAAAGTTTTGCTATTTTAGGTGCAGAATAGAAAAAAAATTGATATTACATTCAAAATAAGAATCTGAATGATAAATTCTGTAATTATTTATATAAATATATGCATGCAATTGTATTTGCTAAGAACTACAATCATATTTTAAATACAGGGATAAATACAAAATTATAAAAGTTCAGTTTCAGTAATCTTATTTTCATTTAATGAGGCAGTATGAATTAGTAAACTGTAAATCAGAGCAGAATTGTGTGATGTTCATAAGCTATATATAATTATTTGGGATTGTCTAAACTGAAACAATCCAATTTAAAAAAAAAGTATATCCACGTTAAACAAACTCTACATCAATATTTCACTTTACAAACAGAAGTGACATATAATGCTAGTGATATAGTTCAAATACATAAATACTCTCATATTCATTTTCTTACAGAGGTAACAATGCAATTACTTATTTGATATATGATTATCACTGCTTTCAAACACGTTTTACATAAAATCAATAACATTTATAAATTAAATAGTTTAAAATGTGCCCATACTCAGATGATTTAAAATAAATATTTTCTTTAAAATAATAACAAAGGAAGAATTCATGATCAGTAAATAACGAAGTGAACTGCCATACATAATAATGTAGTAGATTCACAAATACTATTTCAATTTTATTTTTACTACATATATATATATATATATATATATATATATATATATATTTCTAGTGTATATTTATATATATGTTGATATATAAATAAGTACACTACAAATATGTCCAAATTTTAGGTATCCACAAAAGTATAATAATGTAAATGTGCTCATTTATAAAAATTGAGCATATATATATATATATATATATATATATATATATATATATATATATATATAATACACATACAACTCATATGTATTTTTTTTTTTTTACATAGGACACATGAGTGAATCCTTTCTTTATCAGTGTGTTACCTTAGCACATTATGACTCCAGCATTCAGATAGCATACTCGTTTATAATCTACTACAGTCTATGGCAATTGTTATCTTTGGTATATGAATATTTGATTGTTCATCGCACATCACTTATATTGGTTTTGGAACCAAATATTTTTAGCAACTGATCTTCATAATCATCGATATTTCGCTTCATCAAATCCATACAAGGTCCCAAAAGTCGTTCGAAAGCCTCCACATCCAAAACTTAAAATATATTATTTGTTTAATATCATTAATATAGTTTTTGAGAAAAATTCATACTAAAAATATACCTATGCATTATGAAAAACAATGCGAGGATAGAATGAGATTCTCATTTTTTATGCACCAGCCTCATATTAGTATTGAAATAATTAATGAATATTGAATACTTACATGCCAATTTTAAATCCTGAGCAGCATAGGCTGAAGCTGCTCTTGGCCTATGAGTGACTAAAGCTAATTCCCCGAAATAACCACCTTTTCCTACTTTATTTATTTCCACCTAAATATAATTAAAACAATGTACAAACAAACAAAAATTTAAGTAGCCTCACAATTTTACTTACTTCTGATCCGGTTTCACCAAGTATAGTTATATTGACAATCCCATCTTCAATAAAATACATGCCATCAGCAACATCTCCTTGCTTTATAATCAAATCACCTTTTGAATATGTTTTTGGTACAAGTGCATCAGCTAAGTTCATTCTTTCGTATGGCTGTTGTGTATAAAAAAAATTACATTAATTGTATAAATAATAGAAAATTTTCATTCATCTTATTTTATTTAATTTTTATTCATATTTATTTTTGATATGTTTTGATTATGTAAGACCTCAATAAATATTACCTGAGTAAATAAATATATTTACCTGAAGGGTTTTTAACATTGGTACAGAATCTAAAAGTGCTTCATACATCTTTCTCTTTTTAAAAGCAGATTTGAGCAATATACGTCTAAAAGGCAAAATAAATCAATTATATTTAAAATATTTATAACCATATATACTTTAAACTGTAAAACCTGAATGTAAGACGATCCATAGCCCATAATGCCCCATCTGTGAAAGCTTGTATGGTTGCTGCACGAGGCATGTTGTATAACAAAGCCAATTCTCCAAAACTTCCCGAATTTTCATAAGTGTGAATTAACTTTGGCTCATTGGACTGATCAGTTTTAACAAATGCTTGAAACACACCACTGAAAACATTATTGTAATATTAAAAAATAATAAAATTATAAATGCTCTTGAACAACAAGTTAAAATTAATGCCACATACTTTTCAATAACATAAAAATTGTCTCCATCATCTCCTTGTTGTATTATATAATCACCAGCAACAACTTTCTTTTCAAACATAGCATCAAGAACATCTTGCATTTGTTCTTTATCTAGTGCTCGGAACAATAGGATATTTCTATAAAAAATAACAATATCAGAAACCTGTAAACAACAGTATAGTAAATTTTACAAATAACGCACCTGACAGATTCTGCAAGGCGAGCTCGCTGTTCATCTGATTTTGGAAAAATACATTTCGTGCCTTCATCTTCATCATCATCTTCTGGATTATAAGTTTCAGCAAATACACTCTTACGGCGAACATTAAAGCGGGCGACAGGCGGTTCTGGAAAAAGATCAAGTAAGAAAAATAACAATAATTATGTGATTAATAGAAATACCTTCTTCTTGTGATATAATAGATTCTTCTGGACTGGAAGGCATTACAGAAGCACCCACTGTCGATGTTCGATTTTCTTGCATCCGCGTAAAAAATTGTACAGCGTAATTAACAATATCGCCCGGTTGTTCTAATAAGTAGCTTATAGTGAATTCCAATAATAAATCGCGTAAGTCATCGGGCACCTGAACTTTTTGCCCAGTGCGAGCGTTATCTCTTTTAGCCGTAGAAAACGACATATCGCTTTAAACACGCACTAATTACAAACAAATTGAACAAATAGTAATGAACATACGAAATTAATATTTAGTTGCAGATGACTGAACTTGAATTATTGATCAATATGTATTTCTAGAATAAATATACACTCACAACAGCTAGAAGCATTTTTACAGACTAAATTTAGTATTATTCATAAATTATCGAAGAAAAATAAGTTAATCTGGACCAAAATTGTGTTATGTCAAATTCCTTGCAATCACTTTACCAAGAAAATTCACCTGCTATCATCCGTCCATCCGACCTATCAAGATGGAGTCGAATATATCGCACATGATTGCCAACCACTGTAAAATCTAGAGTTTTGGTTTTGGCAATGTGAGACCATAGACATTTACTACCGTCGTTTAGTAGTCGAGGTGCGATTAATGTTGATCTCATTCATGGATTTTAATCAATGCTAACTTCTCTTTTATTCGCGGGTACGGTTGGTTGTATTTTCTCATCGCCAAATCGCAACTTCAACATATGTCATTGCTGTCATTGCTGTCAACAGTCGTTCCAGTTATATGTTTTTACGCAGCACGAAAACTTACTTCAACGACAAGTAAGATGAAATTGATGATGTTTTGAAACTCGATTCAATTAGTAAGTGAAATATTATTTTACTGTGAACATTGGATAATACAGCGCTATAATATTACATTTTATTACAAATTTGTTTCTTTTTTATTTACATAGTTACCTTATGGTAGACTGTGATGCGTAGTAAATATAGTATACACATTTTGTCAAATTTTTGAAAGTATTTTATTTATTTTTTGTTTTAAGTTATATACTAATTATTCACTATCTTCAATTTGGCTAGCAATTCAACAATCTAATTTTACCAAAGTCGTAATGTTTAATCTTTGCTTAAACATATGACTATATAGCAAAACAAAAATTATTTTTGAGATTGATTACTATATTAAAAAAAAATCTTAATTATAATTGTAAAACAAAATATATCTAGTTTCCAATTGTAAATACCAATTGATATTAATATTTAATGCATGTTTTGTCAAGGAAAAAATACAATATTTAAGGATGAGTCGATCTGATGGTCTTTGGAAAAATTTACCAGAACTTGTACTAACTGATATATACAAGTTATTAGATTTAAAAGATCGTCTAGCAGCTTCATCGACTTGCAAACAATGGAGGCATGTTCTTTTTCAATCATGGTAAATATAAACATGTTTATTATATTATTTATAATGATTATGTTGACACTGAATTAGTTAAAATCACTCAATCTATTCAGCTTTTGGACCACAGTGAAATTTGACACAGCTCGAAGAAACGTAAATAAAAATGATTTTATTATAGAAAAAACAGCACATTTGTATAACAAAATTGAAGTATATCTTATTTCAACATATAACATTACCCAAACAAGGAGACTTTTCAAGAGGTAAATCAATATTTATATCTAAATAAATAATTTTTAACTGTTTTGATTTTTTTTTTATAGATTATCTTATAGCAAATGTTTGCACTCTTTGATAATAAGAATTTTTGCCTGTAACCAAAGGACATATCTTTCATCATCAACTCAAGAACAACACATAGCTGAGTGAGTATACTTTTAAAAAGTTATTAACTATTAATATGAACTGCATTATTTTCAAGAAAAATTAAAAAACATAAGTAATGAATATGCTTGAATCTCACTTATATTCATGTTTTCTTATTTACATTTGCTCACAATTATATTTATTTAGAAATTTAATATTATTTTTAGATTATTTGTGGAACCAGTTTTAGATATAGTACAAAATGCTCCTATACAAGTGCTGGATTTGGGCTGCTATGAACACCTTGCCTTATTTAGTTCAAAAATATTACATAATATAAGTCAACCTAATCTAATTACAAAATTAAGTTTTGCAACAATCAAACGAAATCCCAGTGAATATCCTGTTGGAGAGTCATATCAAATGAAGTATTTTAAAGCGCTTACTAATCTGCAGGTCTGTGAGCAGTTTAATAATTTAACTACAATAACTCAATTAGTAAATGGTGGTAAACATTTTCTTGTTATTTAATTGTTAATTCTAAGTTATAGTTATACTTATATTTTTAGATAAGTATTTGGATGTGCTTTAGACATCAGAGAATTGCATTTTCACATGTCTTAGATATTTATTTTCTTCTTTCAGATGATATCTCTGGATTATGATTTGCTGGACGAATCAATGTTAATGAATTTTAATAGACTGAAAAGATTAGTAATTCATGTACATGGTGTAGAAAACAATCACAAAGGTCTTAGTGAAAATAGTTGGGAACATTTTAAAATCAAGAATCCCAATGCAACAGTTCGAATAACTTTAGTATGTTAATTAAAAATAAAATTATATCTAAAGAATTAATTTTTATTCAAAAGCTGTTTTCTTTAGATAAGGGCACTAGAAGCAATAGACATTCTGCATACAGAAATATTGCGTCCTAGCATACCACTGACTCATTTGAGAGTTTTTTTCTGCAATAAGGTTTATTTGATTACTAATTATAAAAACAAATTCTGAAAACAAAATAATATGCTTTATTATATTTCAGATAAATCGCCAATCTCTAGATTTTATATCAACTCATTATAAGAATACATTGATAAATATTGTTTGGGTTGATGACAAGTTGGAGGCAGAAGAGGTATTATAATATTAATTGAGGTTTTTCAACTTGAATATAAATAGTTTTGTTTGTTTTTAGGATATGGATGTAGATGTTGAATTAGATCCATTTGTAATGATGTCATGGATGTGCAGAAAATTGCAAGATATTGTAGTTCTCGGTAAAAATATTATTTATATTATTTCTTGCAATGATTATTTTATCTGATTTTTCATATCTTTTTCCAAATACTTTTTATTGTATTTCATAGTTTGATGACCTTTTTGGTGTATTTTTAGGTCATTATATGGACATTGATAGTGTTATTGCAATAGCTAGGTTACGTGGACCAAATTTACGAAGATTGCAAGTAGATCCTGACTGTATAACTCTCATAAATAAAAATCTACGTTATCATGTTATCAAGGTAATATATAATTAGTATATATTTTATACAAAATAATAAGATTCCTTAACATTAAACATATAATACTTTTATAGCAAATTGAAAGTGTACTAGAGCGTCCATGGAATTATACAGGTGATCCAATTTATAGAGCAATGCGCAATACATATAATGGAGTTTACAAGAATTTTTTCCGGAATAAGTTTATATACAACATTATTAAAAATGATATAACTGTGGCTAAGAGAAGAGTTGGTAAGTTTTGGATTTAATGTAACTCAACTGATAAAATGTAAAAGAAATTGCACAAAACAAAGAGAAAAAAGTAAGAGAAAGACTTTTACTGAATAAATTAAGTTGTATCCATGAAAAAAACAATAGAGTTAGTTTTTGATATTAATTTCTTAGAGCAATTGTTTTACAAATTAGTTGAATATACTTATAATGTCATTATTATTTTAATTCAAGATATTTTTCATAAAAATCTAATTTTTTACCATTACCAAACATTACATTGTTGATCTGTTTCATGGCAATTTCAAATATTTGACTCGAATTGTTTCTTTATTTTGAAATACTAGTATAGATTCATTATGAATGTTTAACCCATGTACATGTGCGTGAGTATAGCTATAATTTTGGTAAAGAAAAACTGAAGTAAAACATTACTTATATTTCTGAATTCCAACAAACATGAAATATTCTTTGATGATCCATCTGATAGAGGGATGATGGTCTTTTGCTGCTTCCTCTCAGCTATGCTCATGTACATATATAAATAAAACATTCATAGATTAAATTTTTATTTGCTATATAAATAAGTGAATGCGCATAATTGTGCTATCAAATCAATTATTTATGTATAATTAATTTGGCTCGAAATTTAAGTTTATCAGCCATTCCATTTTCTCATCACGATGTAGCTAAGATATTAGTTGAGATTATCTACATCTAGTCGATGAAAAAAGTGAGCCAATGTTGTGATTTTTTTTTTAACTGAAATCTGAGCAAGTTATCTTATAATTACCATTGTAAAGTTCTTACGTATAAGAATTGTGATTAAAAATGCAACCAGTTATAGTTTTGAAAGAAAAACGTATTTTTAAAATACTTATCAACATTCTACTCATATTAATTAGTGAGTTTCCTTTAAGCATTTTTAAGCAAAAGCGGATTTATGTGTATATATATTATTTTGATGAAACAAGTCAATATATTATTAAAATTTGCATTATAAATTGAAAATTTACCTTATGAAAATTTTTTGGCTTAAAAATAGTTTAACGATTTTATATCTGATCTTTATTGTTGTCTTTTTTTTTTTAAATTTAAAACATCATTCCTCAAAATGTAGAATTGAATAACGTAATATTCTACACTAGCCAAAATATGAAATAAACACCAGAAAAATTCTTTTCATAAGAAATGCTTAACTCAATTTTCTTATATAAGTAACAAATATATAAAATAACGAAACCTGTATTATAAAAATGTGATATAATATAATCAGATGTGATCCTACTGATTTGTGATATATATTGAACAAAATAACAATTCTAATAAAATAAAATTTAATGTATATAAATATAATGAAAATGATCGAGTATATCAAATATAAGATTTCCATAGAATTTAGAAAAACAGGGGGGATATTGCATTAATAATTGACACTTGAATGGTCAATAAATAGACAATTGGTTGGAATTGTTAATAAACCAAATAGATATAGGTACCTATGTACCATGAATAGAAAATGAGTATAACACAATAATTTTTTAAATATTTGCCAACTTAAATGCTACACATCTAAAAGCCAATGATCTTGTTAAATGCCATAATTTTCAATAGAATATTAATATTTCATAAGTTTTGAACTTAGAACTGTTTTACCTATTTCTTTTTTTTTAAAAAAATAGCTTTTGAGATCAAGAAATGTTTGCATTTGAAGTTTCCAGATGAAGTCAAATTGAAAAAAAAAAACGAAATTGATTAAATGAATAATCTACTTTATATGTAGATCTGAAAGCTATTTAAATAGAGTTGATTGCAATTGTTTTATAAAGAAAATATTACAGACTTGGTTTGACAAATATATTGTATATAATACGATTTAATATGAAGACACTCAGTGATAAGAATACAAATATGCATTTTGGTGTATGAGCCAAGCTATCTTGAAATAATTTTTTAGGTAGTCAGACATACATTAGTGCAATACGTAATATATTATATGAATATAATAATATATAATAAGAAAGCTAACTTGATATAAATATGTTTTTTGAGATATTAGTTTCTACTACATGAAAGTTTGAACCTTTTGAATTTGTTGATAAAAATTGTTTTCCCTAATAATAAATAATTAAATTCCTTTGAAATACATGTAATAAAATAATATTTTAGATTATGTAAACTTCTCTTAAATGATTTATGTATTATATAATATAATGGTAAGAAGTAATTCTTCAATACTTGTAAAATTTCTTAGATCGACATTTCAAATATTTTGTATAGAAACTGTCTGCAATGTTATAAACATTTATATATTGTTCAAAATGGCCTTAACAGCTAAATATAAAATGCACAATTTTAAAGCGGATGGATAGATAACTCCTTTTTATATAAAATCTTTATAAATCAATCACTAAGTGAATCCAGATAGAGATATTTAAAATATATATCTGGACCTGATTATGTAATCTAATCATTTTGCTTATAATCACTAATTTATAAAAATTTGCATAAACGTTTTATAAGTGCATTTTTACTTGGTTTTGAGTGATTGAATAAAATATTTATATTATATATATATATATATATATATATATATATATATATATATATATATATAATATATATAATAAGAAATAATATATCATGATTGTATTTCTTGAGTGTGTTTATAATAATGCATATGTGCATATTTTTAAGTGTCAGTCAATTTATCATCAAAATTAGATTTTGATCATTGATGGATTTCAATTATCCTTGAAAATATTAGAAAATAAATAATACTCAATATTATTGTACAATTTATACAATATTATATGTAAAAAGGTATTATTGAAAATTTATATAGTTGTCTATGGTTTTATGATGAAATGAAATTTTAACAAAAAATAACAATTTTATATAATAACGGGTATAATTAAAATTGTTATTGTTTAAACCATGACAATGAACTTTGAGTGAGAAATTCTTAATAATGAATACGACAAATATGAATTATAAAATTTCATTTATGTATGTAAATTAAAAATTTTTATTACTTTTGCTATTTATAATTCATTTAAGTTGGGAGATTAGGTGTCCAGCTAAATTGAATGGAAAAGCAAATTTAAATAATACCTGTATCGAAAAGAGATTATAAAGATGTAATTATAATTACAACAATTCAAAAATTGTTATAAAAGATTTAGAAAATGTCAAAAAATTGATTCATGAGTACCTATGCTGAAAATAAATCAAAATACATTAATAGTTTTATTTAATATTGGAATTAAAAATATATTCATATAAGAATATACTACTGATTTATATATAATTTTTCAGATAATTAAAGAAAATGGTTTTTAGCATACACTTTTTCTTTTAAATGTTAGGTATCTGTTATATAATAATAGAGTGAACAAACACAATTTTTATTTTCTTAAAGTCTATACTTTCTAATTTTGTTTATATTTTAATTTTATTTCAGAGCAATTGCTATTGTTTCCGCTTACGCGCTTCGATATTTCGTCTTTAAAATAGCTACGCAGCGCTCTTGCTTTGAAAAAAGTTCACAATTTTCAAAAAAAAATAAATACAAATTTTTAATTCCTTCAAGGTTTTCAAAAAAAATTAAAGCATTTTTAAAAAATATAATTTTCAGTACGGGAAGTTCCAGCATGCACTACTAATTATTAACTTCCCGTAGGATAAGATATAGAAATAGCAAAAAAATCGAAAATGAAAATTTTTATGTATCTTTACGTTTCAAAGGTTTTTGAACATTTTGGCATAGCTTAGAAAAAATAGATGTATGTGTGTATGTGCGTATGTGTGTGTGCGGATACAAATTTTCATCGACGATTTCGGGAACACCGATCAACCGATTTGAATAATTCAAAAAACATTCGATTCGTATTGATAAGGAGACGTTCCGATTAGTTTTTGGAGAAGGCAGGTCTAGCCGTTCCGAAGATACGAGGCAAAAAGTTCCAAAAGCGGTAACTCAGTTTTTAAAAGAACGGAGCGTCCGATTTTAATAATTCAAAAAACATTTTACTTGTATTGACAAGATGAAGAGAATTTAAATTTAGATTAAATTTTTGGGAAGGCAGGTCCAGCGGTTATGGAGTCTGAATAAAAATAAGTTAAAAATGTCATTTGGCGGTAAAAATGTTTATTGGACATATGTACATTAAATTATCAGATATTTTATAGAGATTTTAATAATGTGTACACATTTTGTGTAAATTTGAACAAGATGAAGAGAATTTAAATTTAGATTAAATTTTTGGGAAGGCAGGTCCAGCAGTTATGTACTCTCAGTAAAAATAAGTTAAAAATGTCATTTTGCGGTCAAAAATGTTTGTTGGACATATGTACATTAAATCATCAGATATTTTATAGAGATTTTAATAATGTGTAATTTTTTTTTGGGTTCCGTACCAAGATTTTTAATTACGGTACGGGAAGTTCCAGCAATTGGCCCTAAGCCATGTAATATTATATAGCTATTTTGGCAATTAGGCTGAAAAAATCTCGATATGAAATAAATAAAATAATGATAATTTCATCTTCCTCTATGAATGAGCTAGGATTATTACTATTACTATTACTACGCTAAATGTTGTCACTTTCGCGGAATAGGGCGGTGAGGGCAGTCGTTGTCGTTGGCGCGCCGGGGCGGCCGTCGATATGGACACGTACTTTACATATCAAACGAATACGTCATGTACAGTCACACAGCCACCGCGGTGCAGAGTTAATTTTGGCAACGCGTATATACATTGATTAGAACAAAACAACTTCAAACAACGAATATCGAACGTGTCTCGTATCTATAATTAATGAAACTGCCTAGCAACGCGCATTACTATAGTATATACTCTCTATGAGCGTTATATATTTGGTATTTACTAAAATAATAACATTGACATAATATACATATTTACACTAGGTCGATTTATCCAAATGCGATTTTCACTTCCCTCCTCCCATCGTGTAGATACCTCTACACGTAAGCGAAACCGCCAAGATTGTCAATTAATATCATGATAATTTGAACTGAATGAATAAATTGTTTGCGAAATGAAAATCAAAATATAATTGAATTCAAGACGATTATTTAATTTCATCGCTTCTATTTTGATAAATAAATGGTGTTATGGTTGATTTTCACACGGCATTCACACATACGAATTAATGTATGAATATATAATATATTCTCATATTGGCTGGGTTACGTTGTATGGAATGGCAAAATATTTCAAAAAAATTTTTAGAATTGATCCTAGTAATTAATTGATTTCTATCAATATTCGATGTTATTTTTTGAATATAAAAGATATAGATATAGATAAAGCATATAGATGATTCAATGAATTCATATGAATTTTATCATATATGCCAAACAATTTTGCATAAGCATAAAAACCGATGGATGCATTTTTATAATATCGTTTTTATCAAGATGTAGCCATGCTCAAAACTTCTGTTTATTGCAAGCTTATGAAATTTAAAAAAATATTCCTATGCGATGTGTAAAAAGTAATTAATTGTTAATTTTCGATGTATACAAGCCGTACATATATTTCAACGCGTTTTGTTTCGAGTGAAGAATACATGCACGTTCATTGGCCTATACTTGGATTAGAGAGAGATGTAAACACACAACATTCGTGGGACATACTTCGATTTTATGTAATGAAATGTCCCGGCCACGCCATATTGAAATCAGAGCATTTGAGTTAATTTTTGCCTAAACTGTGTAAATTTTACGAAAACTATTCTTATCAAATTTACTAAATTCCAAAAACCCGTTAAAGTGATTCAATATCATAAATAAATGGCCAGTACACGATAGTAGTAAATGTTGATGCAAAAAATGCTTTAACGAGTGATGTATTCTAATAAACAATTGTTTTTATTAATTGTGAATTGATAGTGCGGTGTGTTTGCATAAATTGATCTCAGATCGTGAAGAATTATATTACTTTGATCTCGCATTGCGAATGCTCTTCGCGAATTGATACTATGCTTGTAATATTGGTGCAAATAAAACCTAATTTGCCACAAAATCACTTGAATGGATATGTAAATATGTAAATATGTTATAATTGATGAGATACCAATCCCCTGTGAAAACTTTAAAGTGTTATGTTAACTAAACTCATCAAATATTGCAATATGCTCGAAATTAATTTGTAATGACATTTGTTTATATAGTTCAATTAGTGATAGATTTTACAGAATTAACATGGAAAAAATGGATCTAGACGATAACGTAGTAGATTTAAGTATAAGGTATGAACATATTTTTATTAATTTTTATAATTCATTATTTTAAATTAAATTTTTCTTCAAAATATCAATAAGATTTAAAGTTCAAATCCAATTACAAATTGCAAAGTATAACTTTCTAATAAAATTCCTTTTTTTTCTGACAATATGACAGAAATTAATCAATGATATATAAACAGATTTCTAAATGTTATCAGCTTATCAAAAATGAATGAATAACTCTTTTTAGAAGAAAACTAAATATGATTGTTTTACATTCTGTTCCAAAATGTCAATTGGACTTTAGTTTACACATACTTCACATATTTTTATAATCTTCTTAATCATATCACTAAATAATTTTGTTTTCATTATGTATATCAAATCAATAATGCTATTTTCATTCATTATTAGTTTTTATATCAATTGCCTTCTTCAAATTAAAACAAACCAGCCTCATGTTTCTTCAAAGATTAATTAATTATTAATAGTATTTTATAAATCATATAAAATAAAAGATAATTTTGCATTATCCATAAAGCTGCAAACTACTGAGAACTCAATTGATTTTTTACGTTAATGAAAGAAATTAGTTACAAAGAAGTTTAATCACATTTAATTAAAAATGTTTTTATATGAAAATCAAAATGTTTTTTTTACATTCATTAGTGTTTCCATCTCAACAAATTGGTGCATTTATTCAACTTGCCGCTCAAACAATAGATAACAATTTTTATGAAGGATAATCAAAAAAATCGACTTCACATTTAGTTATTCTAGTAAATATATTTAAATAAAAAAATTAAAACAGGGAATACACAGTATCTATAAACTTAATAAACTTAAGCTCAGCTTAATAAACACACACATTAATTATTTATTCAAAATGTATACCATAAAATAATGATATCCATCTTGTAATAACTACACAATTTAGTTTAAATTTATAAGCATGAAAAATAATATAAATATAATTTTTTTCTATATCAGAGTCTGATTATATGAGGTAGCTTTTACAGTTGATGCTATTTTTTGCAGTAATAGACGTGATCCATCGCTAACAATAACCCCAGCAACTGTAAGGGATTTACGAGCTCTGACAACTTCAGGGCTTACCATAACTCCTGCGCCAGCCTCTGTATATAGAACAGATGCTACAGCAAATTCAACTTCTAATGCTACTAACAATAATACCCTCAGTGTAACAGCAACTGCTGCTGCCACTACAACCGAAAATCCTAGAAATAGTTTAAACAATCGAAGAGTATTGAGACCGAGAACTGAGCCTAGAAGTTATGCCGAAACTCCTGACATTGTGCTGTTACCAGCAAAAGTTAATGGAAATAGTAGAGGAATGTCTAATGGAAACTATGATTCAGATTCTGATGACTGTGATGTGCCACCTTTGTATCCCATCAAGGTAAAAATTCAATATTAGAAGAATTACATGATACATTTTATTTGTAAATATTATTTAATTGATTTTTTTTGCAGGAATTGACACCGGCTGAAATTCAGGAACGAGATCAATGTATTAGAAAATTGAAGGAAGAATTAAGAGGAGAAGAAACTAAATTAGTATTGTTAAAAAAATTGAAACAGTCTCAACAATTAAAAGTAATAATGTATTTGAATCTTACTCTTACCTTAAGTTTTGATTGTTTCACTAAATTATTTAATTTAAATGTTTATTTAAATTGCAATGAAATTATAAATTTATGTAAAATGATTTTTTTTAAGGATGGATTAACGGTTCTACCAGCAAATACAACTCTGACTCCTGCACAGCCAGGTAGTGGAGGTGCTACACCTTTATTGTCAAATAAATCTAGTTTGACTGTTACACCAGCAATCGGTAATAATTTACCAGGCTTAACACAACAGCCTCAGCCTGCACATTTAAGAAGCAGTAAGCCTGCTACTGTACTGAGAGGGGTAATACTTTTTAATTTTATGTGCACTATCATTGTATTTAACTTTTGAATGTGATAATATAACAAGGAATTGTTATATTTTTTAAACACAAAGTACCAGCTTGATTAAAGTAAAACTTTACATTTTTAGCAACCATTACCTGGACGTGCCAACACCACTGTGTTACCATCACCTCGTAGTTCTCTTCCTGGTGGAGCGACTCTGACACCTGGACCAGCCCATCGTTCTAATTCTGGTCAATCACAATTAGGCAGACCTGCAAATATCACTATTACACCCAGTGTTACTATTACACCAACCAGTGGACCACCTGTTCAACAATCTAATAAGATTAATAAGAGTTCCCATGTGAGTCGAAGGTTTATGTTTTTTTCATTACTATGGATGTTTGTGTTAATATGTTGCTTTACTAATTTAATATGTTTATGGCAAAGTCTATAAATTTACTTACCCATTCATATATGAATTGAAATTATTTTGAAGAAGTTATCTTATAATATATTTATTATATAGATTTTTAGTATAGCTTAATTTTGAAAAGAATCATAATGAATATTATTGAATATTATAATATTATTGAATATTATATTGTTATTGAATGTCACAAGCTATTAAATAAATTAAATTAGAAAGTTTGGTTCTAATACACATAAGAACACAAATGCAATACAAATTTACTTACATTTTGTTCTAACCTAATTGCTTATTTCAATTGATGATTGAAGATTTTATAGTCATGTCGTGCCATTGTATAAAATATTTCACTATAAAAACTTAATACCAGATTGACACTAAGACTTTTTTAAAGATACTTTTAGTTACATAAATTTATTTCTGCATAATATTTTGATTTAAATATTTAGTTCTGATTAATCATTACCATTTGCATACTTTATGTATATAACATGCTTCATATATTATTGAAACTGGTACTATTAACAATTACAAATAAAAAAATTCTAATTAATGGAATGCAGCTAATGATGGCAAATTCAGATCAAATAAATGCTCCAAATACCGAGGTTTCTATTTGTACAAAACCTGCATTAGGTTCTGGACAAGGTGGTGTTACTATTACACCTTCTAATATTTCTCTGCAAAATGATCAGGTGACATCAGGGGTTATACTTGTTCATGTTTATACATTTCATTTATTATCATATAAATCTTATGAAAAACTTGTAAATCTATTAGAGATGTTGTGATGAGATGAGTAGATCTATTAGAGATTGCTGTGAATTAAAATTTGATAATTCTTATTCACCATTCATTTTTATTCATAATAATTTCTGTAGCCTGTATACATCCTGCTTACAATTGTTCAATAAGTTTAAATATTAATATGTTTAATTTTATCACTTTTTGTATAAAAAAAACTGTTTTTGTATTCCTTTTTATAAATGCTTTATATGATTATATATATATATATATATATATATATATATATAATTGTCTTTATTTTTGTTTTATTTATTATAGAAATAGTTGACAAAATTTTTAATGCTACTTACAGAATGAAAGATCTCGAGATGATGGTCAAACGCCAGCACAACGTCAAGCTGCTGCTAAACTTGCTCTCAGAAAACAGTTGGAGAAAACTTTGCTTCAGGTATAGGAATAAATCATGAATCATTTTCTGAACTATATTTTCATTTACAAATCTTTTCTTTCAGATTCCACCACCCAAACCACCCCCACCAGAAATGCATTTTATACCAAATCCATCAAATACAGAGTTTGTATATTTGCTTGGTTTAGAACATGTTGTAGACTTCATCACAAAGGAAAGAAAAAGTCCTCCTGCACCAGAGCCATTCAAATGTCAACAATGCCGAAGTGATTTTACTCCCGTGTGGAAATGGGAGAAGCAAGGCAAACATCGTCCTGCAAATGCAACTTTCCAAAATCCTCAAGGTACATCTTTTAGTTTAAATAACTAATTGTACATTATATCATTTTTATCTACATAATGATCAGCAACTCTATTCACTTGCATTTCAATATATTGTTCTTATGCATGAAATAGCTTAAAATTTCATTTTGATTATAGGTTTATGAACAAAAAAAAAAACTGTATATACAGTGGTATCCCAATATATGAGTTTAATTTGTTTTGTAACCACGCTCGTATGTCGAATCATTCGTATCTGGAAGCAATATTTCCCATATGAATACATTGATTTGCCATTAAATAACTCCAGAACCGTGGTGTTTTTAAATATCTACTATTTAATAATTTAATTATTGTTTTTCCTATCCATTGTTGATATTGCAGAAATGAATTAGATATGTTTTGTTGAACAATTCTCATGTTCAAACTGTTGTAACTTTTTGAGATGAATTTAATTCATAAACTTTTAGTTCTCAAAAAGCTGCTTATGAATACTACTAATAATTTAATATAAATATATAATTAAAACGTCTAACTGTAAAATAATTCGCTATCATAAAACAGCCAAAATATTTCTATTGTAGGAAACACCATCAACTGACGAAATTTTTTATATTTTTATTTTGTTATTAACATTTCTTGGGAAAACTCTTACTGGATCAAAGCCCGTATCTCGAATTTTGGTCTTATATCAAAGCAAACAAGCCGCTCTTTTAGCGGCTCATATCTCGGAACACTCATATGTCAGGGTTACAACTGTATAACTATATTAAAGCCAGTTTTGTCTAATGCTTTATGTATATATAAGTATAAGTTAATTTCACCTGTTCAGTTTCATGTGGTCCTGTGAATAAATGTGCTCCTGCTATTCCTTTTTCTACATCCTTAAAAAAGGCAGCCATGAAATCCTTAACAAACAAAAAATTTCCTTACCTCCAAATGCAAGGACCCAGGTAATGTGAGGTGTTGGAAAAATTGTATGTAAAAATATACTAAACTCAATAGTTGTACAATTGTTTGCTATGTGCAGGCAAGGATCCTCGTGTCATATGTGAGCAGTGTGTTACATCAAATGTAAAGAAAGCATTGAAAGCAGAACATACCAATCGCCTAAAAACTGCCTTTGTCAAGGCACTACAACAGGAGCAAGAAATTGAGCAGAGACTTACATCAACTTGTAGTAATAATAGTAGCAACCTGAGTAATTCTAATAATGTTAGTTCTTCTTCTTCACATCAGTCTACTAGTGGGAGCCTGGTACATCATCATCAATCGCACCACAATAGGTTAGTATGATACGAATTTAATAAACCACACATAATGTAAATGTGTGAAGAATGCAAATTATGAGAAATCTACATATCATGTATGAATTATAATAGATAATATATAATATTATATTTATATTGCAATATTTCAGGTCTAGCCCATCACCTTCAGCATTATCAGTGCTGCCTCCAGGAGTGACTGCCACAGTTATAGAACCAAGTCAAAACCAGTCCTCTGTATTGCCACCGCCAAATTCAACATCGGCGAAAGGTTCCAACTCATCAGGTGTACATCGGCATGCTCCTACACCTCCTGCTAGACACACACCTCCTCCATCCACTAGCTCTAGGTAAAATATATAATGATAAAGTTTATTTATGAAATTTGGTGACTTAGTATCCTTAATACTATTTTTTCCATTTATGTTCATTTATTAGATTATTATTATATCATACTTTATTGGCCTTGAATAGATTCTATTTTATCAAGAAATTGAAGGCATATATTAATAATTTGTTAGTAGTACAGTAATGTGGAGTTTGTCTGAAAGTCAGTTAAAAGATTTAATTGATTCCAAACAAACTTATCTTTTAGATCACGTCATTCAGCATCAAACTTGGATGCTGCAAATTTGGATAAAGCATTCCTTAATCAAAGCCATCTAGGTGCTTTAAGTAGTTTAGCAAGTTTAGGCGGATTGGGAAATCTGGGAAATTTGGGAAACCTGGCAAATTTAAATAATACTTCATCTTCTTCACAGCAGGCAACCATGCAAGCTTTACATAATCAATTGATCAGAGGTATATATTTATATAATTTTTATGTAGATTTATTGAAAATGTCCATAATTAAAGTTTACTTAGTTATTCTGTTGAAGTTTTGTCTTTATCTAAAAAAATATTTAAAATATGTAAAGATTAAATTCGTAAAATATGCAATTAATACAAAAAATTCTAATCAATCAATCAATTAATTGCTTTATATATTTAATTTAAACGTATTTATTGATTTTATTTATGTATGTCAAAGTTGTTATAAGTATTGTTTTCTGTGTTAAGATTGTAGTATTTAAATCTATTAGTTTTATTTGATTTCTGTATACACTTGATTAATGATTTTATTTTGTTTTTTCTTGTTAACAAGGTATGTTTTCAGGTTTATCTCAAGCAGGTTTGACTGGAAACTCATCACACATGTTGCCATTTTCCCAACTGTTATATCCATATCAATTAGCTATCGCACAGGCTGCTGGGCTTGGTGAGTGGAATAAAGGTGTAATTAAAAAAAAACAAATAATAAAGAACTAATAATAATTCAAATTTAATCTTTTCAGGTAAATCTGGTGTGCCAAATTTAGCAGATATGCAGAGAGCGGCAGAATTGCAAAGGCAATATTTACTAGATATGATTCCTCCACAAAGCTCATCTAATCAAAGACAAAATAACTGGAAAACGTAAAAATGGAGGCATTTCTATCACGAGTTCTTTGTGATAAATTTGTTCCTGAAGTGTGTGGTTGTCCTCCCAAATCGACAATTTGTGAATATCATGTGTTATAACTAAGGTATTTATAAAAATAATTATAGTAGGTAAAATAAAACAATTAAGATCGAATAATGATTTTTTCTCATATGCTTAGGTCTCTAGAATAATATATGTAATTTTTATCCTATTTGTATAATTGATATCTATAATTATATATTATGGTTTCTTATTGCATAACAAAACACATAACAATATATTGAATGGTGCTGCTCATCAATTAAAATTCTTTTCAATTGTAATTCACAGATAAAATTTGTTTTTATTTCGATTACTTTATTTTTCATATAAATAATTATTATAATCAATATTAACTTAAATCTGTACTTCATAAATTTACTTATTTTGATGATTCTTGGAAACATAAAAATTAAAAATAATGTAAAATATTATTGGTTCATAAGTAAATCAAGCATAGAAAATATTTACTAATTAACAATTTTTTATAATATGTATATGCCTTTGTGCATTACTTAAGTTATAAATATTATTGACTGTATTAATAATATTTGTAATCATCAATTATTTTCATCTGATAGCATTAATTGAAGTTGGGAATTTTGTTTCATTTTTGTTTAATAAAATTTGAATTGAATGCTATAGAAATTTAAGATAATATTTATCAAAAGCATTTTATAAATATATAATTATTTGGCAAATTAAGATTTTGCTATATTTCAAATTTATATTTTTGGATCATTAAATATATTTTTATAAACTATATTAGTGGTTCATATGCAATCTGTATCAATATTATTCTAAAATGGTCAGAATTTACTGTCTTAACAAATATGGTATTATCCCATTAATTTGAGTAAGCGGAAACAGATTATGTTCATAATTAAACCTGATAAATGTTCAGGAGCAAATGTGTTTAAAAATATGTGAGAAATATAAATAAATCAAATGTATATTGTAGAAAGTGATATGAATTAACATAATTAGAATATTAAGTGATGATGTTTGCGTTTAATGTGTAATGTTTTCTTAATATGTATATTTATCACTGATGCCATATTCATATGTGTGTAACCTAAACTTCAACTAATTCAAACTACTCTTTTTGATAATCGCTATATCTTCATGTGCATAAAGTTCTTCAATTGGTAATTTATATGATATATATTCATACATAACTTCTTCAAATGTTAGCATAGATGCTGTAAGGAATTGATTTAATGAAAAAAAAAATGTGCCAAATGCTTGTCACTTTAAGCTAATTAGTTCACTTTTAAATGAATTTAAATCTGGTTTTCTTTGATATAACTTAATAATTATTTGACAACATGGATATGGGTTATAACTTATGACTCATTTTGCTTTTTGGCTGAGTTTTACTATAATATATGCTCCATCATAATGCAAAATCATCAAACTGATTCAAGTTAAAAGCTAACCAAATTACTTTGAAAATATATAAAGTTTGCTTATATTTTGGCATAGATTAACACATATGAAAATGAAATTATTACCTATGAAATGATGAATCGCCAACAGATTTTTTTTTATAATTAAAATACGACAAGAAAGCGTTGTAACAAATTACTATGCTTTGGATGAACTAATAAAGCATGTGCTGTTGTGATTCAATAATAGAACCAAACCAGATGAATCAAAATAGTTAGTAATGCGTACAAAACATGGTAAATTTATATTTTTGGATACCAATTTGTTTTTATATTTTTATGTATTGAATTTATTATATTATTAACTACTTTCTAAATGTCATAGATATACTGAGCACCCTGTAATAGGAATGTATTTACTTTACAATTCCAATGTAAATTGCTAGTTTGAAAATATTTCAATTTCACTTTATCATCAAGACCTTGCTTATAAAGCATAATGTACTGGTTAATTATAGTTATTTGTACAGAATTTTTTCTTGCAATTTATATGAATTAAGTTTATAGTGATGTATATAAAGCATTATTTATTTTGTTAATGCCTACAATATTAATGTTAATTTAAGGTTGTAATACAATTAGCTACAGTATGAATAGTTAAAATTTATTTCTATATAAATAAATATACTGGCATCTTTTATGTAAACACAGTTTTATTTTACCGGTCTTATCAAGTCTTACCTGGATGATTTTTCTTTGCTGCTTTTTCATTGTCTATATGTAAAGATGTGTAAATATGTGTATGTGCATTATATATAAATAATGTGTACACTACTCTATTCTTTTATCTGTGTATGTATCCTTTGGAGGCCTATCAGTTCTTCAACAAAATATCTGCTTAATATAAAATTGAAAGTTACCAAATCATTCACAAAAGGCATTAATATGAAATAAAAAGTATTATGCAAAGATTTTAGTTGAGCAATTGGAAATTAACAGATATGTTATAGTAAAAGTGAAATGATTTGGAGACATTTTCATCTTGGAAAGCCCAAGCAGCTGCCCCAAAACAGGATTTTTTGCAATGTGAGTAACCAAATTCATTATTTACACAATACTGAAAATTACTGAAATATATATAGGCATACATTATATGACATGTGGTAGACAGAAAATTAGAAAAATAGTCATTTAATTAAGAAATGTATTCCAATAATTTATTTTAACTCATATATATATATATATATATTCATGTACTATTCAAAGATATTTATATTTTATTAAATTCTATTTTTTTACTTTACATGTAAATAAAATAAATGTATAAAATTCTTTATCAAAATTTCTACTTCTTGATAATATGATAGCCTGTAGCATTAAATTAAAACTTTAATTTAATGCTACTTGATGCTAAATCTTAATTCAGCATTGACTGCAAGTTTTCATACTCCATCTCTTTAATTCGTATTTGCTCTTCAAGTGATTTCAACATTTCTTGGAATCTCTGTTGCAATGCTGCATTCTCCATATTATCAACCTCGCGCTGCTTTTGAAGCTTTTGACTTTGCAACTCTTGTAATTGTTCACGAATTTCTTCAATGCGTGACATAAGCATATCTTTTGGAGTATTTCTGTCCACAAAGTTTCCTGAATTATTGGATGATTTATCCTGTTCAAGGCAAGAAGTACTTTGCTCTAAATTATCTGCCTTACTACTAGTTTTTCTAGAAACATTTTCATCTGAATTATTTTGATTATAATGATTTCCTTCAATTGCAATCCCAGAAGAACTAGATGGATAAAACATTTCACTGCTAAAAGATGTTACAAGTTTATCATCATTTTCGGCTCCCTGAAGAGAGCTTGAATCATTCATTGTGGTATCATCTGCTGACAGTCGGCTATTATCATCTATATCTATATTAATATTAGTATCTTCTTCTTCAGAATCACTAACAGCTCCACCAAATATATCATGTTCGACGAGATCTAATCTTGATGTACTTTCATAAGATGATTCAGTATTCATACGTGAGTCTACCAAAGGACTATTTTTTTGAACTCCTGTATATGACATTGGCCTAGTTTTTGATTTTATTATAGATTTATTTTTCATTTTATTTGAAGAATCTTCTTCTACATTGGTGTGCATTCCACTAGGTATATCTTGCTTTATTTGGTCATCATCTTCACTGATGATTTCCCATTTCACACTGACAGCATCATTATCTTCTCGAAGTAAACGTTTCACTTCTTTCTCAATTTCTGGTGCTTCGACATACTTTTTTTTGAGAGTCTTTCTAAAACGTCTTCTGCGAACATTTTTTGTTGGTGGAGTTATCCCATGTGGCCATAAAAACTTTTTGTCTACCTTATTTGGGTCTTTTTTCTTATTCTTGAGTGGAGATTCTTCATCTGTTGATAATATATCAGGTTCCTCCTTACATATCATCATTTGACATATATCTGCAGTTTTATAAAAGCTCCTGTTGTCAATAGTTTTGAGTGATTCCACAATAGTTGGCAAATCAACAACTTTAGCGTGCATAAGAAAATGATCGATTCGTACTTCTCCATAACGCATGTCGTCTTCTAACTGAATGGTAAACCTGTCCTTCAAACTAGCCACTCCATTTTTCAATGCCTCCCTTAGAACTTTTGCAGGCTCCTCTGGAAGACGGAGTATAAACTGATTTTCCAATTCAACCACTTCGCTATAATCTCTTTTATCACTAACTGGACGATTACTTTTGTTATAACTCATTTTAATGTGAGTATTACTAAAGCAAACAGAAACTGAATGAATATAATAGTCTGATTTCAATTTAGGTTATAAAAGTATGAATCCTCCAACTACTTGTTTGAATACCAGCTACTATTTTGTTATGTTTTGTTTAAAATTAAAAATTTTGAAATCATAAATATTGCGAAACTAGAATTATTACACGTTATAGATACTGATACACGTTATATATAACATAATATATAGTCTATGCAGAATGTTATTTGTAAACGCAAAGTGACATTTTATTAGTAATAGGTAATCCCGCCAATCTTCTAATGGCGCTGAGATCGAAAAGGCGAACAAGTTTTACTACAATCCTAGACAATATAATAATCTTGGATAAGAGAGTAAAAAGTGATGAAGTGATATCATTACGCTGAACTTTAGTAACAAAAATATATATGTTAAGATATTTTATGCAGTTGAAATACACATGAATATTTATTTTCGATATTTATTATTCGATATTTATTTTCGATAAGATTTGAAATTTGAATTTCGCGCTCTCTGCGTCATCGCCATCCATCGCCTTTTGATGGCGTCCATCTTTGATATGCACAAGTGTCATAGAGATTGTTGTGAAAAGCTCTCGTGTTAATTAATCACTTATTTTAATTAAATTCGTAATTAGATATAATTCATTCATGCATTATATTGTTTCATTAATTACGTAGATCATTACGATATAAAATTTATATATGGTGGTATTCATTTAAAACAGATATGTGTGTCGAAGTCTTTAGGTCTTCAACTAATGATAATTATCTCTTTCAGCAAATTTAATTCTAATCAAAATCTAATATTTTTTACAGATTCCAATGTATCCTTTAGTTATGTTCATGTTTGCAATTCTTATCAACATGATGTATATATTTGCGATTTTAAAGGCAGAAAGCACTTCTGCAACATATCTGTATATTTTCAAAGTATTATCATAATTTAATTCACAAAAATCTCTAAAACGTGCATCGCGTTGTGTATTTAGTAAAGACTTGACAATTTATTAATTATATGAAATTAGTGACCACAGTAGTGTTTTTGAAATAGTGATTGAGTGTAGAGCTTTGAGACTTCTTGCAGATGCTTTGGGTTTTCTTCTCAATGTGAGCAATCAATTTTTATAAACATGTCAAAGAATACTTCTCTAAATTTATATACAGGCCTTTATTGCACAACAAATAGTACACTTATAAAATTTTATAATATATGAGATATTTAGCTCATGATTTCTTAAAATTAAGTCATTTTAATAGCCTGTATATAATTCATAAAATATTTGCTGACTCATAAATCATTAGTTTTTTATGCACATGCATCTGCTGAAAAATAACATAAAGCCATTACTTAGCAATATTATTGCCACAAGGTTTATTTTTGACATGATTTATTATGTGTTGTGTGAAGGCTTAACTCGGACAATTGCAACATGTCCAATAGGCATGTAAAAGACAAAGTTATGTAGTGGTTTTAAAGTAGTGATTTTGTGTCGAGTACTTGAGGTTTCTGGCAGATGCTACAGAGGTGGTTGAAGTCTTGGATTTGTGTTCTGGGAGCTGTTGAAGAGGATTCATTACAATGTAAGTGCAAAGCATGTTTTATACAAATCGAGTCAAAGATTATATTTCTGGAATTATATACAGGCATTTATCATATAGCATTCGATGCACCATGTTTTAAATATTTAGTTTCCTATTATATATATATATATATATATATATATATAATGTATATATATGCATTAAGTATTTCTTAATTTTGAATTTAAAGCAGTCAATTAATTTTGAAAATCTTTTTTTTTTGACACAATATTGTTTGTCATCTCCAATAAAACTATGATTTGATTAGAAATAAATAAAATGATATTACTTATAATTTATTTTCTGAAAGAAGTTTACAATTATTGATTGAGTTTGTATGACATGCTACTTTTTATACTTATAATAATAATATTTCTTATTAATTATGTATTTTATGCTTGTTTTTCTTTTTTGAGAATTTGTCCCTTTTTTTTTGAGAACTTGTCCCTTTGTTTTCCGATGTCATTTAAAAAGCAGCCTGTATATATTTTAGTGAAATATTTTCTGACTTGTGCATTATTATTATTTTGCATACATATATCTGCTGAAAATATTGCTTATATTTTAGTCAATATCATTTTTTTAATAAGGTATACTTTATAAATTTTTAATACATAAAATACAATTTATCTTTTGTATATTCAACTACAACTATTATGCGAATAAAAGATTTTAAATTAATTTGGCAGGCATATGTGTAAAAGACTATGTTTTTATTTAATTTGTTACGGGGAAAACATGTTGATTCAGTTTTTTTATTTATTTATACAAGTGCCTCTTATGAATGTTTTAAATTAACATAAAAGAGAAAGCCAGAAATCAGAAATCAGAAATACGTTCAGAAATTCTTTTATTTTATATTAACACTATGAGCAGATTTTGTGTGGAATTCAGAATTCTTATATGTATATAAAAATTTTGTTACTAAATTATTAGTTAACCAATACAGCTTTTTGTGTACATTGATTACTTATTTGTTGAAGAGGCCCTAGTATTCCTCCTTAGGTAACTCCTAAATTGATGGTATTTTGTTACAAATTACAAACTTACTTTGTTACAAAAAACTCTTTTTTATTACATCTCTTGTTCATTATTATACAGAAAAAATATTTGTATTTGTATTTGATATTTCCAGTGTCAAGAATCATGTGTTTTCCCTGTAGCGATATTGACTGCATGAACATTCTTTTTTATGATAACACGATTGTTGGTTTTGATCAAAATATTTAAAATTCTCAATATAACTTACGAAATTGTTAATTAAATGCAGCTTTTAGAAGTATATCATTGTAATTTTATTTTAAATTTATTCAATCATATCGCTGCATAGCTAAATTATAGATTTTTATTCTTTTAATTCTAAAAATAATTTTGATCAGGGCATGCAATCAAAGTTTCGAAGAGTTGACTTGAATGATTAGACAAAACATAATTTTGTTCACAAGTTTATTATTCGATTCAAGTTCTAAACATTATTTAACTCAATTTCTAAAGGATAACATTCAGCTTTTTGACAGTTTTGAATTTTTAATGTTGAAGTTTTTGAACATTTTTCAATATTCCATTTTACAAGTTTTGTTATATTTCTTTTATTGCTTTTTCCAATAATTTGTATATTATTCAAGTCAACTGCATTTGTTTTTGTCTCGATTAATTGTAAAGGTTTCACATCAAGTCATGTATAAACAATTTTGATTCGATTAATTTTATTTCATTTCATCGATTAATTAAATAATTCCTTTAAATAATTTTTTTTTTCTAAGTCCAAATTTTCTGAAACCTTTTCAATTAAGACAGACGAGTTATTTATGCATGCTGTATTATCCCAAAGCCAACATTCGAATGAATGAGGCTCACATTGAATATTTCACAACGAGAAAATTTTATTGGGGCAAAGTTAAATATTTTAACTAAGTCCCAGTAATTTTTTCTCGTTGTGAAAATTTCAACGTGGACTTGATTTCATTCGAGTGTTGACTTTGGGAATTGGTGTGAGGGAACACTAAAAAACATAAAAAAGTTTCAACGCTGAACAGAAAAGAGAAAAATTGATCTGGGACTTAGGGGGGTTTTTTTAAGGCTCTCCACCCCCTCCTTCCTCCTCCTCCTCCCCTCTTCCTCCTTTTTTTTCCTTTTTTTTCCGCTTTTTTCACATTTTTTTTCCTTTTTTGGTGTTTTTTTCGAATGTTGTGGTTTTTGGGTAGATTTTTGGGTAGATTTTCGGGTTCGGCATGCATCTTCCGTAATCTGTGTCTCTCTGCGTGTAACCTCTCGCATCATGGACCTTTGGTTGACCATCACTCCGTGTGTTCGTTTCAGGACCCACCGCGCCTGCCACCAGCCAGTCACCAGCACTGCTCCATTTTTTCTGCTTCGTAGTTGGTCGTCGTTGCCTTCAGCTGGACTCGATCCGTCTCACCTTGTGCCTCCAGAGTGATTTCACCGAGTATGCGGTCCCTTAAACCACTCGGCTATTTGAGTTATTGATGATAAAAGTTATTTTCATTCTCATATTGTATTAATATTGAATTTGAATAAAGAATATGTATCATACACATCTCTCTTATTCATCATCTGCCTCTACCCCTCTCTTTCCCCAGTTCTTCCTCTACCTTTTTTTTTCCCTCTCTTTATGTATCTCTCTTACAGTCAAGTGCGAAACTTGAGTTTTTTATTTTTCAGAAATATACTAAGTGTCAAGGTCGAAATGCGACACCTGAATTTAATATTTTGAACTAATATTTGATAATTATGAAAAACTATACATTCGAATTTTTCAAGCAACTTGAGGATTCGAACCGAGAAACAGTGAGCAACCGTAGTGGCAACTTAACGATCTCGGCCAATTGGTCATAAAGAACCCTGCTCTTTTTGTAAGAATATAAATCCTTATTTTTAAAATGAAAGATATAAGTTTCCTAAAAATGTGTCATTTCGTGTGAGCAAGTGGCCGAGGTCGTAAGGATACGGTTTAGGCCAGAATAGCAATTCGAGGATCGACAGATCGAACCCCATTTATCTGAAAAAAAATTATATTCAATAATTTTTCTAACTCTGTAAATAAATAAGACATATAGATAAATAATTAAATTTATTGAGTGTCAGCATTACACAAATCGACATAATATATATGTGCATATATATAAATATAAATGTATATATATATATACGCATGTGTGTATATATATATATATATATATATATATATAAAAGATAAGAAATAGTAGGAGGAGGATAATTTTGAATAAACTCATATTCACGCCTGGTTAGCAGTAAACCAAACCTACTTTGGTGTAATTTGAAAATCTTATTTTTTTTTCGATGAAAAAGCAGTCTATCAGGGGCAGCCAAAATTGGCCAAAATCGTGACTTTCAAATGCAATTTTAAGGCCCTTAATGAAAGAAATTAATAATTTTAATGAATGCGTCGTGTAGACTAAAGTACAATCTTTATACCAAACCAAAAAAATTACAAATTTATCATCGTCTTCATGGTTAAAATGAGCTTCAAAGTT